CAGAAGTGAAGCCGAGGTGTGTGTGTCAAAAAGCACTATCACGTACTGGTGTCCCAAGCTGAGGAGGAGAGAGAAGAACCAAAGGCTAAGGGCAGCGATGATAGCACGGCTGGTGATGATTCACGAGGCATGTTAGCTCAGTAATGTTTCGGAAGGCTGCTACTGACTGTTAGCTCAGCGGTATATATTCTTCGCGCATGCCTTCGCTCATTGTATTGTTTGCTTCGATTGTGCAATTCTCGCCCGCTCGCTCAATTGCACTTGTTACAGTCATTCACTATGGATACGGTACATACCTACAGCTTTTTTTTGCTTGTAGTAATTATATTTAGTAAACAGCATTTTATAGTACCTGGTACAATCATCCACGTTTCTGCTCCTGGCTTGCGATGGGATCCATGGTGAGTTCTCAGGGAAACGCTGGCATGTTTACCCCAAGCGCAGCCTCCCTGTCATGGTTAGTCCTTACACATAGCAGGTGCGGACTGGACCATGGGCCACACACGTGGAATAACAATGAAAATAATATTTTGCTAACACACAAGAGCATCGCGTTGGTAATAGCACGGACGCTCTACCTGGTATAACTACCCAGGCGTATAATCTCTTTAAAAAATCCTACTCCTATTCCCTACTCCTATTCCCTACTCCTATTCTTGGTGCCACGTTGCAGCTCCCCCAACAGCAGTTGGGTGCGAAAGCAGGGTCTTCCAGGTAATCTGGGCGGGACTGGTATGCTGAAACGCACCGCGTGCACTCGACAGCTAGCTAGCAACTCGTCTAGAGTGAAGCCACGTCTTCAAAAGTGCAGTTTGTACAGAGGCTCTGAAGCCAGTAGACGTGGCGAAGTTCTGACCGAAAGAACAGCCTGTCTGGTGGCCGTATTAAGAATTAAACGTGTTTGGGCGTGGTCTGTCTCCGCGGAGAGGCCTGTCGACGAGGCGACGCACCCATCAGGTCCCAAATGTCGTCGAAATCGTCTCTTCTCCTGGCGGGTCTTTGAGGAGTTTTGGAGGACGGCGACGGCTTCACGGCTGCTTCTGACGTGGATGCCATGGATGCTTTGGCCTGTCGTCTCTCTTGATGCTTGAGAGCGGACTGCAGGTTACAGGACAGAGTGGTGAAAGAGGGTTAGTGTTTGCTCCGCATATCCAATATGGGAATGACAATCCTTGTTCCTTTGGACAGTGATAATATATAGAGCAGAATGGTTGGGACGCAGCCGTTCGCGCTTACCTTATAAGCAGTGTGAACTTCCAGAAACATGGATGTCGTGTCCTCAGCGCCACTGGCATCGGGGTGATACTGCAAGGCAAAAAATAATGAAATTAAGCGTCAGCATCTGCTATGGTGAGCTGGCGGTCGGGAAACGATGACTGAGCGGTGAAACCGAGCGAGAATTCTGAAACTGGAAACTCGAGGAAAGTGGGCTTACAATGCGCGCGAGTCGTCTGTACGCTTGTCTAATTTCGTCAGCTCCGGCGCTGGCAGGCACCCCCAGCACAGTGAAGCAGTTGGGCGTGGCTCGTCGTCGTTCCGGAGCTACTGTTATCCGAGCCTCTACGAACAATCGTCGAGCGGTTGGAGGGGATGATTTGAAGGAACTCTGTCCGTTTAGTCTGGACTGAGATGGCATCTTCGCTGGTGAAGACAGGAGATGCGAGGCGGAAAGAGCCATTTCTCTGAAGCTAAGGTAGCGGATTGCCTGACAAACTACCGGACTAACACTGGAACGTGGGAATTAGATGGAGTGAGTGGTCGGAGCGTCGAGTGACAAGCGAAGGGCTGGTACTAGTCTATCGGAATAGAATGCGAAGTGAATGGAATAATCAGCTGAAGAGAGGACTCTAGTCCGCTCGTACAATTATTTCCGAGGATTTTGAAAAATACCAAGGATTGATCAGGATTCAGTTGGTAGAAAGTAGCAGGTTTGATCGGAGAGCAATGGATGATGGTGCTATTTCAAGGCCACCACCAGTGCCACTCCATCCACATCAGCCGCCTCACTTTCAGACATCCTTGACAGTTCGCTCTCTCCACTTCGCCCTATCCACTCGACCTTGTTCTCACAACCATGCCCAACCGCTCAAAGCCACTCAGAAACGCTCTGAACATCTCTCGGCCAGTCAGACTGATTGACTGGGTCTCCCCAGCGCCGTGCCGTGTGGAGTGTCGCACATCCATGCACTTCGTCGAGCCACATCCAGCAAGTGACTTCCGTTTCAGCTGCCCAGCCCACGCAGTCGACAAAAGAACGGAGCCGCCTCCAATCACGGGAAAAAACCACAATTCAAGCTGCCAACACACTGAAAGAGACCCGAAAATTCTGTTCCCCAGATTGCGGCAAGAATGACGCTGGCACTGTAGCTGCGTTTCGGAAGTCACGGGTTGAACTCTGAAACGTGTCTGCTCTGGGCAAAGACGTGCCCCGACGTGGTTGGGGCAGGATTGAAGACTGGTTTGGGCAGGATTGAAGACTGGTTTGGGCAAGCACGCGCGGGTTGATTTACCGCTCTGTTGCTGGTCGGAACCAAAACCACTTGGAGGAATTGAGGAATTGAGGAATTTCAGTCAGAAGGACATCTTGGAATGTGTAGCACTTGATTCGCGTCGCGACGTGCGACTCCATCACAAACAGCAGTCGAAATTGACATTACTTCACGCTTACAATTATATATATTCAATGCCATCTATAGATATTTCTTCCATATCCAAATTCACACATTCTCATGCATTGGCATACTGAAAAATGATAATCAGTAATCTATCAGATCTTCAATTGGGTCATGTCATCTTGTTGTACTCTGGCACTCTTGAAACAGGTTCCCAACTAAAATATGAGCTCACTCACCATGTACACTCTTAAAACAGGTTGTACTTCACCATAAAGGACAGGAACTAATGGAGAGTGCAAACACGATACCATATGTACACCCTCTTCCTTCCAGTACAATGCACACAGTGGTTAATATGCACATTCCACCAAACGTACAGCTAGCACGGGTCATGAGCTAGCTGACTAGTACCAAAAATACGCTTGCTAGCACCACCAGGTGCTTGTGGCTCAAGTGTGGTACAATTGCAGATTTCGAGATTATGTGTGTGCATAGCATACCCAGACGATGAACTGTCATAAAAACTCATGCTCAATAATTTTCTCATGACATACATCATCACCAAAACGACTAACCCCTAGATAACCATAATACAATATTAAATTTGCCTTCAACACACGTATACGTTGCATGAACTGCGTCACTTCCTTGTGACCAGTTCAACCTGTACAAGCGCTGAGATTCTTTCTGGCATGTGGAATTCAGTGCGCTTCTGAAGTCCCTCAGCGTCTTTTTGGAGTCTTTCGTTGAGTGGTGGACCCCAAGATGTCGTCCCAAATATCATCCCAGTCTTCTCTTCTGCGTGGCTTCCCAGCGGTTTTCAGTGGTCTGGAGTTTTTCGGTGGAGACTGAGACTCTAGAAGAGCCTTTGCCTGCGCTTTCTCTTGGCGCCTCAAAGCAATCTGCAGTGACAGGTACTAACGTTCAGAACCTTTGCAAGAGCTAGTTGGAAGAGCGAGGAGGCAGGGAGAACGAGAGGAGCGATTATACATAAGTCATCGTTGAATGCCATCGGGACTGACCTTATATGCTTCGTGAACTTCTAAAAACTTCGGTACTGTGTCTTCTGATGAGTTAGTGTCAGGATGATACTGCAAGGAGCGCAAGCGAAAGAAGTCAGGGGTTTGGGCACCAAAGCGGAACAAATTCGAAGTTGTGAGCAGCGCTAAGAATTCGTACAATGCGTGCAAGCCGTCTGTAAGCTTGTCGAATTTCATCTGCTCCTGCTTGTGCAGTCAAACCCAAAACAGCATAACACTCTGAAGCCCTTTTCCGTCTCTCTGGTTGCACTGCTAGGGACGCCATGACTACTGATGCACGTCTACGAAGTACGATGCCGGAGTTTCTCTGTCTTGGCAACGAGCGAGAGAGCTTCTCGCCATGTGTCGTTAATCTAAGTGGACTATGCCTGGCCAGGGAAGAATATACGAGCAGCATGGCGTGACGAAATTGTGAAAAAAAAAAAAAGAGAAGGAAAAGCCCTCTAAGTCCAATTTCCTGTGTATACTAAACGAGAGTGCGTGATCACATCATTTGGAGCCAGCTGGAGAAAGATATTCAAGTGTCGAGCGAGAATGAGGACGTAATATTCAACCCAACAATGGATGAGGCACAGAATTCAAGCGAGGGGTGATTGCTTTTTCAGCTCCAGCCAGTGAGATACTTGTTGCTCAGAGAGGTTGACTGAAAGCAAAGTGAAGAGCTGACTGGTTTTGTCTGGGTGTGCTTTTTGGTTCATGAATCATAAGATCGCAGCCGCCAGTGCCGCTGGTGCTGGTGCCGCTGCTGCCAGTGTGTAGTTGGGCTGGGTTGGGTTGGGTTGGGTTGGGTTGGGTTGGTGCAATCCAAGCACGATCTGCTTTCTTCGTACTGCGATTATCCGAGCGACAGGTGGCAACGGCGCCTGCGACTCTGCGACGAGCAGGCAGCTCCAGTTTCATCCTGATCTCGTCGCCAATAACTGGTCACTTGCCAGGGTTGCACTGTCTGAGACCACCACACGGAAATTGCGGCAGGAATGACGCAGATGATCCACCGCTTCAAGTTCAGGTATGACGTGTTCAATCAGCTCCAGACGCGACGCGAATCTCCCACGTGGGCAAGTGTGTACCTTTGTCCCTGTGCGTCACCTGCAGGGATGCCCTTTTTCGCCAAGTTTGTCGAGGGCGCGTGCCTGATGCGTGCTGCAGGTGTCGGTGAGCAGTTCAACGACCTTGTGGAAAGTGGTGGTGCCAATCACCCCGAATCTCTGGCGTGAGTTTGGGCGATCTTCAATACAAGCACAGCAAACTGACGGGATAAAAACCGAGTTCGTCAGTTCTACAGAAGGCAAAGCATCATATATACAGTAATTATTACAATCACAATCCTCATATTCAATGCACCTCATATTGCACCCAATGGTGGTGCTGCTTTCTGTGCTCGTTCAACTTCCTTCTTGAGATACTCCATAGCATCTCTAAGAATCTTGGCCTCTTCTTGGTCTTCTGTTCTTGACAATGGCTGCCACTGGCGTACTTTGCCCCCAAACAACTGGTTCTGCTGCATTTGTGTTGTGGAGTTGAATTTTGTGTGCGATGCCGATGCTGACACTACGACAGGTACTTTCCTGTGAAAATCCTTTGCAATGGCAGAGTCAGCAGCAGCTCTTGTCACCCCTCCATTCACACTCCCACCTGCCAGCAGCTTGCTCTCCCCACCTATCCTGTCCCAAAACCTTAATTCGCCTGCACCTGACGATTCCTCCCCTTCCAGCCTCACCAACTCCCCATCCCGCCTAGCGTCTTCTGACCCTGGCTGTTTCCCAAGTAGCGATTCGCCGTCTGTCCCGTGCTTGCTCTCTCTTGTCCCTTCCTCACAAGCCTTTTCACAAACTGTAACCCCATCTGTCACAATCCCACCACCTGTCGCCTGCCCGAGCCCTCTCACTCGCTCCGTCCCCTGCACCCTTGACTGCTCCCCCTCTCCTTCCACTGGCTGCGAGTATCCCCCAGCTCCCTCCTCGACTCCTCCACGACCCTCCTCCTCCACCACTCTGTGCCCCTGTCCCTTCGCCACCAGCTCTTGAGTCGACTCAAAAGTCACTCTGTGCCCCTGTCCCTTCGCCACCAGCTCCTTTTGCACCTCCTCTAGCCGCCTCTGAAGCTCCACAGCGAATTCTGCTGCACTCAAACCCACCTCCCCTACACCGTACCCCTCAAGCCCCGCACACCCTCTCATCCCTCCACACACCTCCCCACCACACCCCATCCCCATCCCCACCACGCCTCCCACTCGCTGCGTTTCCAGCCCAGCCTCGCACCAGCAATCACCACACAACCCGCCAATATTGCCCCCTTCCCGCGCATCAATCCCCGCAAGTCCCCCCATTTCCCCTGCTTCACCCCCCAGGGCAATGAGTGAGGCGCGCGCATCAGCAGCAGCGGCCTCCACCCGCCACAGCCGCGCCTCCGCGGACGCTACAGCCGCTTCCACCTGCTGCACCTCGCGCATCCCCCCTTCCCCAGACCCTTGCGCCCCACCCGCGCCATTCTCCCCCTCCGCGCACCTGCGCGTGCGGTGCACGCGCTGGCGCAGCCCCGCCAGTTCCGCCAGCACGGCGGCTACGCCCGCCTCTTGCCTCTCCACGGCGCTGCGGATCCACTGCAGCTCCGCGCATACCACCTGCGCCTGTAACTCTGCCATGTCCACCTGCGCCTCCGCCAGCCGCGCGCGCTGCGCTAAATCCTCCGGTCTTCCCCCCATCTCATCCGCCTGTACCGCGCGGGCTTGCGCTTCTGCCCTGTCCGCGCCTCCCGCCTCCCCGCGCCCTTCCCCAGCGCCACTAACCAAAGCCCGCGTGTCCGTGCTGCCCTGACTCGCCTGCTGCGTTCGGCACGCCTCCAATCTTTTACTCAAGTCCGTTCGAACTGCGCTCGTGTCCGTTATAGTGCTCCCCGCTGGCTCCTTTAAAGCGCCCGACGTCCTGTGGCAAGGCGACGCGCTCGTGCTACGGGAACGACTGCTGCTACTTCTGCCGCTACCCTTGCCGCTGCCCGAGTAGCTACCCCTGCCGCTGTCTCTGGCACTAGCCGTACGATACTTTTCCCTGCTGCTGCCGTCTTTACCGTTGCTGCTTTCACCTGGTCCCTCCCTGTCAAGAGAATGCTGCTTCCAGCCTGACACGTGGCGCCGCTGACTGTTGACCGGCGTCCTTCCACCGCCTGGCCGGCTACCGTGCCGGCCGCCGCTGCGAGCGCGTCGGCGCCTGGCCATGAGTTCGAGGACCCGCGCAAAGGGGAGCGGACTGCCCGCCGTGCCGTAGCACGTAGGCGTGTTTCCGCGCGCGTGGGGGACGGCGGAACTTCCGCCAGGAGAGGAAGCGCCGTGCGGAGTGAGGCGCGCGGAGAAATGGTGGGGGCGCCAGGGGAAGCATTGGGAGGCGGGCGGAAGCGACTTGCCGCCCTGGCGAAGAAGAAGGGCGTCGGATGGGGACGGCGGGGACGGCGGGGACTCCATGAAGGCGCGCTTGCGCGTTCCCCCTCGTGCGCGCTCCCCTTCCCGCTCGTTACACTTTGTGCTCGATACTTTGAGCTCCTGGAGCTGACTGCGTGCAAATGTCAGGATTATCTTCTGCCTAGTAATGGCAAAATAAAGTTACAAAAAAAAGGTCCCTAGTCCACTAACATAATCGCGTGCCTGATCAACCTAACAAATAGGTCTTACGTGCATTACGAGTACGTAATCGCGGGACCAGTAATTCTACGCTTCCGCCTAAGATCGCCAACTACGGGATAATCATATTACGATGACTAGAATTCCACTTCACGCGATGTCGATAAGCGACTAGCTACATTAGGCGACACCTACAAAAATTGCCCGATCCAGAGGATAAGCTGCTAACTTCTCACAACCGAGGTGAAGTGAAGGACTCCAGAAACCGAGGTGCAACGCTCTTCACCACTCTGTATTGAGCTTAAAGGGTGGGTTTTGGACTGGCTGTGCTGTTGGGGAGTCAGACGACATCTCACGCTAGTCGCCGATAAGCTGGGAAAGTAGCGCACAACCGCCTTCTCGCATTGGACAACCATTCGCGAAGTCGCAGAGTTTCAGGCTGGGGAATAGACCTTGTGATCGCCAGCCACAAGACTGAATATTGCGAAAGAGGTTACCAGATCGCCAAAACATGAGACTCCCAGGGGTGCTGAGTCGCTGCCCTGACCACTTCAAGCGTATGTTGGTGCACGCACAAGCGCGAAAGTGGGCCAGCGGGGGCACGTCGCACTCATAGTCGCACGCATGCCTGGACGCAATTCGTCGCAACAACCCATATTAATGTCGCAGGACAGCATTCACCAATCAAACTGCATGAGGGGAAAAGCTTCCCTGCAGGTTGTTGGACGGAGACATGCTGTCGGACAATATGTGGTCCAGCAGGCTTCTGCACGCGGATTGAAAAAATGTTCTGATTGGACGTCAACCTAGCCCTCCAACCAGACCCTTTGGTTTGGGATGGGAACACTATATTACAGCTTTCGACACATACCCGATAAGAAACCAGATCGTTGCTGATTCGTGCACTGCAAAACAAACATGAGTTATGACTGATCTAGATGTCCTTTGATGCGTTCCACTAGTTCTGCCTTCCGGCCAGTGAGGGGCAGGCTATGCAATCGGAGATAGCCCTTCAGATCCTCGTTTGTAAAAGTGTCCATCTGCATAGATGATAATACGAAACACATCAATACTCTTCCATCCACCGACCTTTCATATAAAAACAAGACACGGTCTCATCCCCCCATTACCTCTTCCAAATTCTTTACCACTCACCTTCCCTTTCTCGGCAAGGCCTCGCCAATCGACAACACCGGCCTTGGCAGTAGCAGCATCGAAAGTAGCCTTGCGTTTCCTCTCAGCAGCATCCGCCCTCGCCCGGGCTGCAGCATCTCTCTGCGCCTCCTCCTCATCATGCCCCGAGCCGTACACTGCGTCCTTGAAATGCCTTAAAGCCGCAGTTGCACGAGCAGCTTTCCTGCACACATAGAGAATGGACGTACATGAAAGCAAGCAAACGAACAGACAAACAAGCATGAACCATTTAAGCACGGACCCACAGTCAGCCTAATCCTCCCTCGGTCACCACTACCCAGAACACAAACCAACAAGGCTTACTCATAAATAAGCACGCATGAGATGAGAAATTGCAACCAAAACACACCCTTTCTTCTTGGGTTGGGTGGTGTCAGAGGGAGGGGGTTGGAAGATGGTGTAGTCTGGCAGGGTGGTATCCACCACGGGCTGCACCTCAGGAAGGTCCAGCGCTATGGCCTCCAGCATGGAGTAGTGCGTCTGGATGACTGGCACAGGGTGAGAGGCGAAACAAGGCGGTTTCAGGAGGATGAGACAACTAAAATCTTTGAGTGGTGTCCACCACAGGCTGCACCTCTGGCAGGTCTAGGGCTATGGCCTCCAGCATGGAGTAGTGCGTCTGGATGACTGCAGAGGGGAGGGCATGGGGGTGGGGGAGAGAAGGAGAGGTGAGAATGAAGGTGTGGGTGGGTCCACGCCGTCAACATGGGACGGGGCGTTTAGACGAGAGCACGCGGGAGAATTCGTGAGGAGGGAAGGTGGGCACAGACCCACCTGGGTTGAGAATGTTGAGCGAGGTGAATTCCTTGAGATGCATGGGAGACTCACCGTTGGAAGACTCAATATGTGCACTGCACACCCATGCATCCGAACCCGTAGAGGAGCAAGGCAAGACCAGGAAGTGAGGGAACGGGGTGAAAGGGATCCTACCAGGGTTGAGAATGTCAAGCGGGCTGAAAGTTTTGAGGTGCATGTAGCGCATGAGCGCCGTGGCAGTTGCCACCTGCCCTGCATCCGCCCTCGGTGCAGATACCACCTCCCCTTTACTGCCTGCCTCCTCCCCATCTCCCCCAGAGTCGTTTGCACCCCGGCCTGGCACCCAGCGGGCATACTGTGGTTGGGGCCGGGGGCAGGGGAAGGAGGGGGAGAGGGAAGCATTGCAGGAAGCGCCGGGAGGGTATGGTGGAGTCACAAGGCGCCCCCTGCACCGTAGCATGGCATTCAGCGGGCATACTGTGGACGGTGGGGGGAGGAAGAATGGTGTGCAATGTGGAGGGGGAGGAATGATGTGCCACACTGCTGAATGCACCTGCTTCACATAGCACAAGCAAGCAACTCCCTCCCAACTTCTCTGCCCCTCCATGTGCTCTGCTGCTCTGCTGCTCTGCTGCTCTGCTCCTCTCACCTGCTCGGCTGGTCGGATGTCTCCATAAAAGAGCAGAGGAATCACGTGCCATCCTCCTGGCTGCACCTGCTTCACATTTTGAGACGTCTCAAAACTAGCACCTGCTTCACATAGCACAACGTCTCAAAACTAGCACCTGCTTCACATAGCACAAGAAAGGAGTGTTCCCCCTCTCACCTGTTCCGCTGCTCCCACCTGCTCTGCGGTTCTCACCTTTTCTGCTGGTCGAATATCATCATAGAAAGGCAGAGGAATCATGTGCCACCCTGCTGGCTGCACCTGCTGCAGACAGCACAAGCAACTCTCTCCCAACTGCCCTGCCCCTCGCATGTGCTCTGCTGCTCGGCCCCGCTCACCTGCTCTGCCCCTCTCACCTTTTCTGCTGGTCGAACGTCATCGTAGAAAGGCAGTGGGATCATGTGCCACCCTGCTGGTTGCACTTGCGTACCACTCTCGTCCACCTGCTCTTGCTGCACCAGCCATCATAGATGGGAAGAATAAAGAAACACGTGGATGAGATGGGTGAGACGCCACCTGAAGCTATGAGAACAAGTGCGCAAGCCACAGATCCCCTGGCCAATCATGTGCCACCCTGCAGGCTGCACCTGCTCGCCCCTCTCGTCCACCTCCTCTTGCTGCAGCAGCCAGGGATGGGAAGAATAAACACGTGGATGAGATGGGTGAGACACGAGGTGACTTTTGAGTCGACTCAAAAGTCACCTCTTGCTGCAGCAGCCATCATGGATGGGAAGAATAAACACGTGGATGAGATGGGGTTTGCTTCGTTGTCCTGATACAGCACGAGTTGATGGAAATAAGGCCTCCGCAGCCCACCTGTCTGCTATTGACAGCTCCTGCAGCAGCCATCATGTATGGGAAGAATAAACACGTGGATGGGATGGGTGAGACACCACCTGAAGCTAAGAGAACGGGTGCCCAAGCCCAGAGTCCACTCAGAACCAAACAGGTTTCTGAGGTCAAGAGGATCGACTCAGCAACGCTCTCTTTCTTTTTTCATCGACTAGAAAAGCAATAGGATATGGCTCCTTCAAGATGGGAGTCGGTGCCAAGTATTGATATGACTGATGGAATCTATCTCATCAGCTGGAAGGCACCAGAAGACGGGTCACGTGGAGAAGACTTTTGAGGCGCCTAGAACGCAAGTGAAGGAGGCTCACCTGGGGGAGGATGGCGACGAGGCGCGGCAAGCCGATCTTGGCCCAGCATGTCAGTGCAAAGCTGATTGATGCATGTGCGTGTGAGTGTTGGGAGTGTTGGGAGAATGAGGGGGAGGATGATGAGGGGAGCATTGAAAGCTTGAGGTGAGACGGATTGATGGTATGGATATGCAGCAAGAGGCAGGATGCAGCAAGAGGCAGGATGCAAGAGAGGAAGCAAGGCTAGGCGCCTGGAAAACACTGGCCTTGCACCACCAGCTTCACCCACTTACCTGTTTGCATCCAGCACTGCGTTGCCTCGCACATGCAGTCTCACTCACACGTGCAGCCTCACATGCAGTGTGACCCACCTGTTTGCATCCAGCATTGCGTTGTGCAGGGGCAATGAACGCTGCCGTTCTGCCCCTACAGACTAGTTGAGGAGCCTAACAAACACTCACCCCGCACATACAGCCCCGATTTCACGTGCGCCCCCACTCTCATCTGCACTCTCACCCACCTGTTTGCATCCAGCATTGCGTTGTGCAGGGCAATGAACGCAGCTGTGCTGCCAGCGAGGGTCTGGAGGGATGGACAGAAAGAAAGACACACAACCCACAGTGCACAGAGCACCGCACAGGAGAGACTGAAATAGGAGATAGAGGGACAGAATTGAAGGGGAAAAAAAGTTCCAAATCTGACTTAAGTCGAAGGTGGACCCCCACACACAGACATGGCAGATTCCAACACCCCCTCCTCGTCTGGGAAAGGGAAGATGGGTGGCGCAGGTTGTGGTGTGGTGGTCCAAGAGGACTGGAGGGGTATTTGAGACGCTCTGGATGAAGGATAGCCAAAAGTGACCTGAGAGTTGCCATGCCCTGCTCCTCGTGCGGGAAGAGGAAACTGCACTCTAGAATGAGGCAACCTAAGTCGGCTGTAGTGCGCACCTCTTCGTTTGGGAAGAGGAATGTGGGCGGCTGCAGGTTGTGGTGGTCCTTGAGGCAGTGGAGCGGCTTAAAGCCCAGCAGCAACAGGTCGTGGTAGTCCTTGAGGCAATTGAGACGTCTCGAAGCTCTGCCTGCCAGGCTGCTAAACTCACCTCTTCGTCCGGGAAGAAGTAGGGGGCGGCTGCAGGTTGTGATAGTCTTTGAGGCAGCGGAGAGGTATTTGGGAGACTCTGAGTGAAGGATAATCAAAGTGACTCGTTGATTGCGAGGCTCACCTCCTCGTCCGGGAAGAGGAATGTGGGCGGCTGCAGGTTGTGGTGGTCCTTGAGGCAGAGGAGGGGCTTAAAGCCCAGCAGCAGCCGGTGGCGGTGGTTTGAGTCGTTTCAAAACTCTGACAAAGCACAAAGCTCACCTCTTCATCTGGGAAGAGGAACGTGGGCGGCTGCAGGTTGTGATAGTCCTTGAGGCAATGGAGCGGCTTAAAGCCCAGCAGCAGCAGGTCGTGGGGGCACACCGCCTTCACCTGGTCCACCTCTGCCTTTGCCATGATGATACGCGAGCTGCAGGGAACGGGAGTTGGAAAATTGACGCGCAGCAGAACGGGTGGGAAAAACACAACTTAGCCCAGCAGCAGCAGGTGGTGTGGTGCAGGCACACTGCCTTCAGCTGGTCCACCTCCGACTTTACCATGATGATACGCGAGCTGCAACGGAAGAGGAAGGAGTCAGATATACACAGGCAGACAGAGGTGCACGGGGGGCGAGCAGGTGTCACACACAGGCATGCAACAGCACATCGTGGTGTGGGGACACACAGGCATGCAACAGCACATCGTGGTGTGGGGACACACAGGCATGCAACAGCACATCGTGGTGTGGGGACACACAGGCATGCAACAGCACATCGTGGTGTGGGGACACACAGCCTTCACCTGGTCGAGGGATGGCGGAAGTGGAAGGTCGTGGAAGAATGGTACATGATGACAAAAGCAGAGGCAGAGCGAATGCTTGATTTGTACATCTGTTTAATACATATCTGAAGCTGCATTCCCTAACCTACCCGCCTGGCATGGGCTGGTAGCGCGGCAGTGGGCCGTGCAGCACTGCCCCCGTGTCCTGACACACCAGAGCTGTCTCCACCTGTGTGTGTGTGTGTGTGTGCACAGCAAAGGGCGCACATGTGTGCAAACACAGTGAGGCATGGATGCCTGCATGCACACAGCGAAGAGTATTCTTGAGGCGCCTCAAGATCAGCCTGCAGCACTGCCCCTGTGTCCTGACACACCATAACTGTTTCCACCTGCAAGCATGCGTGAACGACCAGTGCAGGCATGTGCAGGCAGGAATATGCATGCCGATGCATGCCGATGCATGCGCACAGATGGACGCGTGCAGGTACATGCGTGCACAGAGTCACACACGTGCAGTAGTTAGTAATACTATGATGGTATCCCATGCACCATCCACCTCAACCCACAATCTATATGTACTTCTGCTCACGTGCAGTAGTTAGTAATACTATGATGGTATCCCATGCACCATCCACCTCAACCCACAATCTATATGTACTTCTGCTCACGTGCAGTAGTTAGTAATACTATGATGGTATCCCATGCACCATCCACCTCAACCCACAATCTATATGTACTTCTGCTCACGTGCAGTAGTTAGTAATACTATGATGGTATCCCATGCACCATCCACCTCAACCCACAATCTATATGTACTTCTGCTCACGTGCAGTAGTTAGTAATACTATGATGGTATCCCATGCACCATCCACCTCAACCCACAATCTATATGTACTTCTGCTCACGTGCAGTAGTTAGTAATACTATGATGGTATCCCATCCCACGCACCGTCCACCTCAATCAACCCACTATATAAATGTATTGAATAACTTCTGCTCCCCCCCGTTTCATCCTTTCATGTCAGCCCCAGTGCACTTTTCAACTCAACCCTTTGCCTGCCATGCCACCCATGCACCTCGTCTATGCTCCCTTCTCTTTCCCTCCTCCTCTCCTATTTACTGTGCAATTGTCCACGGCCCTTACAGAGACTTGCTTCTTTTGAGTCAGCTCAAAAATCCTCTCCTCCTCTCACCCACCTTCACCGTGCGATTGTCCACCGCCCTCACTTATACTTCCTCCTTCTGACTGAGTCGACCCAATAGAATCCTCTCCTCCTCTCACTCACCTTGACTGTGCGATTGTCCACCGCCCTCACATACACTTGCTTCTCTGCATACACACAGCAGCAAGGGGCGAGACAATGAATTTCGAGACATCTCAGAACTTGATTGTTGCTGCCTACAAACACACTCGAAACACCTGCTCCTCTGCCTGCACACACTGCGAGGGACGAGCGAACCAAGGTTCCGTCGCAGTTGGCCCTGAAGGTCCGACACGGGCCTTTCAGAGCTACAAGTTGAGTTGAGTGGGCTGCCGAGCAAAGGACGCTAAGGAAGCTAAGGCACGGCAAGGGGTTGATGCGAGGCAATGCTCGAATCTTGGTGGGGAGGATGAGAGCGCAGGAGGAGAGGGCGTTGTGGAGGTGGGGTAGCAGTGAGAAGAGGCTGGAAAGATTGATTGCGAGTTGAACAGGGGTGTGCACAATGGTTCGGAGCGAGGCAAGGCCTGATGCATGAAGGAGGTGGCATACGGATCTTGGCAGGGCGAATAAGAGCGTAGGAGGAGAGGGCAATGTGGAGGTGAGGCACGACGGCGAACATGACTCGCTTCACCATTCGCCGCCGATACACCTTCTTGCGCAGCCGCTGCTGCAGGTCGCTCAGTCTGGTGAGGTGTGGGGAGAGATAGAAAGGAGAGGCAGACAGGAAGACCAGGCACATCATGAGAGCATGACTCACTTCACCATGCGCCTGCGACTCACCTTCGTGCTGCAGGTCGCTCAGCCTGATGGTGGTGGTGCGCGGAGAGAAAGCAGAGGAAGGTCGAAGAGAGTGAATTTAGTTGTCCAGTCTGATAGCATATGGAAGGAGTGGGAGAAAAGGCAGTTTCTGAGGGCACGACTCAGCTAACATGCACCAGGAAGGAAGTACCACAGAGGACGCACGCACTACCTAGAGTGAATGTGAAGGGACTCGCCTGTGCTCTTCTGGTTGGAAGCCCGCTCGTTGTGAATCATCAAAGCCTAGCATGTCCTGACGCATGGGTAGGGAGGGAGAACGAAAAGTAATGGAAAGAAGGAAAGCGCTTGTCAAGCGAAATCGGGCCGAGAGAAAAAATGGAACAAGGCGGGATGAGACAGAAAGCACTCGATTGGGGAGAAAGGAAAAAGTTGTTGACAACTATGTCAGGAGTGGGATTTGAACCCACGCCCTTACGGACTAGTACCTGAAACTGGCGCCTTAGACCAACTCGGCCATCCTGACACATGTGTAGGGACTGAGCTCACATCTAGAATATGGACTTTAACTTCAGTTCGCATTGATAGGGAAGGCACACGGGGGCACACACAAACTGTAATGCACGTCTTGGATTGGAATATGCATGGGCGGGGACTGAGCTCACCGCATAGAAGATGTTGGCGTTGAACTTCTCCCCTGGGCGGCTGAGAGGAAAGAGGTCAAACACAATGCCCAGGTCACGTGCGTCCTGCAGGAAGTACCGTGGAAGGAGGTGGGCATAGCAACGAAGGGAATGGTCATAGCAACGAAGGGAATGGTCATAGCAACGAAGGGAATGGTCATAGCAACGAAGGGAATGGGCATAGCAACGAAGGGAATGGGCATAGCAACGAAGGGAATGGTCATAGCAACGAAGGGAATGGGCATAGCAACGAAGGGAATGGGCATAGCAACGAAGGGAATGGGCATAGCAACGAAGGGAATGGTCATAGCAACGAAGGGAATGGGCATAGCAACGAAGGGAATGGGCATAGCAACGAAGGGAATGGGCATAGCAACGAAGGGAATGGGCATAGCAACGAAGGGAATGGGCATAGCAACGAAGGGAATGGGCATAGCAACGATGGACATAGAATGGGCGAAGAGGTCAAAATGGGTTGCATGACAGCAGCTGGTGGCCCGTCAAATGAGACGGTCACAAGGGGTGCAAGCAAGCTCCAACCGTCGCAAAGCGACGTCAAGCATGCTGCTATAACTCCATGAGTACATGGAGAGCACAGTAAGTCATCATGGTCTTCCGTACTGGACGGTGGTGAGTTATTGTGTTTTAAGTCGATTCAAAACTAACTCCATGAAAACATGCAGGGCACAAAATCAAGACCCACCTTGGCCTTTTGTGTGGTGGTGCGGCGCATGTCGCTCTGCACTCCCTCGTTGGTGATCGCTCCAAAGGGGTCGTCGTCATTGGTGAAGAGAAGCACGTTCTTCAGCACCTCCTGTGATGTGGAGCTGGGGTTAGGGAAAGAGACGAGAGCATATTTGCACATTCACACTTGTGACCACCTGTGACGAGAACAGCTCCAAAGGGATCCTCGTCATTGGTGAAGAGAAGCACGTTCTTCAGCACCTCCTGTGACGTGGAGCTGATGGTGGGAAAAGGGCGGGGAAGGGGGAAAACCACATTTACACATATGACCCTCTGAAACAGGACACAAGAATGGCCCCAAACGAATAGTCGTCAATGGTAAGCAAGCACGTCCTTCAGCACCTTCGTGTGATGCAGAACTGATGGTGGGCAGAGGAGATGGGAGGCACACGAGCACATTCATACATATGACCCTCTGAAACGGGCAACCGGGATGGCCCCAAACGAATAGTCGTCGATTGTAAGCAAGCACGCTCTTCAGCACCCTCGTGTGACGTTTTGAGACGTCTCGAAAGTCGTTCTTCAGCACCCTCGTGACGCAGAACTGATGGTGGGCTGGGCAGAGGAGACGGGAGGCACACGGGCGCAACAGGGTGGTCCTGTGCACAGCTTACACAAACTCATGGGTTGAAAGGAGCAGTAAATGTAAAAGCAAGGATCAGTGGTACGGATCAAGGATGGAAGAAAAAGGACAGCACTGGATTCATATTTAGGTTGATTGTTAGGGTTGATTGAAAATACAGGAAAACGGGGAAGTGGGACGTACCCTGTGCGCAGAAGGCCTTGGACGACCCAACTGAAGGACGAGTGGACCAATTGGCTTGTTGGTCCATCGAACCGGTGGACCAACTGGCTTAAGGTTGTTAAAAACTACAGCTAAATGGGGAAGTGGGACGTACCCTGTGCGCAGAAGGCCTTGGACGACCCAACTGAGGGAAAAAAAGGGGAATTTCAGGAGAGCGAAGAGGAGATAAGGTCAACACAAAACGGTCAGCTCAGTGCACGGGGTGCTTCAGAGGTTTCAGAAAAAGAGGGAATATTTTTAAGGCGCCTCAAAACGAGGGTGAGAGTGGATGGATCATGGAGGGGTTAAACAGGAGAGTTCAGGGCATATGTGCTTGCCACAAACCCTCTAGTTTTGCGTTGACTAGAGAATTAGAGGGCGAGAGTTGAGAGACCTACAGGGCATTTGAGCTGCGGATTGCGAGAGTTGTTCCCCCACATGCATGCACGCACAGAGATGGAAAAAAGGCAAGAATAGAAGCAAAAACATATGGAGTAAGACATTAACGTGGGGCAAAGAGAAACACGCATAACGTTTTCAAGATAACCACAGAACAAGCTGTGGCATTCTTATGGCAGGCGACAACCCAATGGCAGTACAGTACAGTACAGCATCATGATACAGCACAGCACCCTAAACACTGGCAGCACCAGTTACTTTAGAGAATTCTCTCAACAATGGCAGTACAGTACAGCATCATGAAACATCACAGCACCCTAGACACTGTCAGCACCAGTTACCTTAGAGAATTCTCTCAACAATGGCAGTACAGTACAGTACAGCATCATCATACATCACAGTACCCTAAACACAGGCAGCAACATGGGACGCACATTGGGTTGTCCTGGGGCTTCACATTCCCCCTCAGCCAGTTGCCCGACCCAATATCTTTCTCAAACGTTTCTGGAAGGCATGCAGCAAGGCAGAATGACAGTGCGGTAAAGGGAATCAGAAAACCAGCAGATGTCTGTGGGTGAAAACTGCATAATGATGGCATGGCTTGCTCCTTATTCCTTTTCAGGAGTGAACATTGAGAACATGCGTTGTAAGGAGTGAGGCCTGCTTTTTTGCAAGAAGCAGGTCTCAGAGGTAGTCCCTGGTTGCAAACAATAGCTGGAAATGATGTGGAGTGAACCTGGACGCTGCATGGACTTTCTGCATGCGAAATGATGGGGGCTACAATGGATGGAACCGGTGAGGTATTGAGTGGGTTTGAATCGGTTCAAAAGGGTACCTGGAAGGTTGGAGAGGTCTCGGATGAGCTGAGATGACGTCTGCTGGTTTTCCTGAAAAACAAACACGCCCTCTGCTGACTGCACATTTTGCTTTGCACGCTGCCATTTGAAAACAGAAGCAACAAAACGAGAAAGCAAGTTGATTCAATTCGCTTTTGAGGATTCTAAGGTGAGACTGGAATTCGCAGCGGGCTCGGACTAGAAAGATGAATGAAAAAAACTCAGCCCTAAATCAACAAACAACGAGATGCATGCGCTGTGAAGCGGTCCACTCGGAGAATCCACCTACCGTGTTGAAGAATGCAATTGACACAAGGTCGCTCTCCCGGGAGATGATCCTCGTCTTCAGGTCACCCACCAAAGCTCGCACCACCTCTTCGAAATACGTCCTCTCACAAGCACCTCCCGTGTCCTCTCCTCTCTGTCTTTCTGAGCTGGCCGCACTGGTTTGAGTCCCCAAACTGACACCTGCTTCAACCTCCTCCTGCACGAACTCGCAGCGTTACTTGAAAAGATCAGGAAAAGGTTGGAGTTCTGATTGGCTAATCAGAATTAGCATAGCAAGAAAAAACGTCATGAATGTGAAGCGAGAACACCAGGACGAGGTGGAAGTTCAACATTCACATGGCTGATGAGCATACAAGTGAAAATATCCGGATGCGCATCACACCTCGTCGTCGTGGTAACGCAGGAACATGTCCGGCCCTGCATCTATAAGGAAGACCACCAGCTCCTTGCCGTCGGAATAGTCCTGACAGGCAGGAGTTCAGGGTAAGGAGGACATTGTAAAGCATATGTAAGGTGGCGGATTCCATGAGCTCCGTGACTTACACTGTAAGCGGAAAAGAATGGTCGTAGATAGTCACGGGTAAAGATCATCTACAGGAAGTAAATCATCCGTTGGCTTAGGCTAGGATGATGTAGCAGCAAGTTGACGACAAATGGGACGAATCTAAGCCAATCTCGACATTTAGCGTAAGAAGAGCCACTGAATGCAGCGTCGCTCGGACACTGCTGACTCGTTGACTTCAACGCGCTACTAGACACGCTAACCGAACGCACAAACCGCAAGTCGTCGCTAGTAGGTTAGCATCTACTCGCGTACTTGAGGCGTCTCGTCATCGTCGCCGTCCTTGTCGCCGAACAACACGGCAGGGTCGAGATCCCAGTCCGCCATGGCACTCGCGCTGGGTGCGACGCACTGGCTACTAGAAGCCACTGAGCCCCGAGAAAGAACAAGCTATCCGCGCTTTCTTTCCCTTGGTATTTCCGTGGAGGTGAATCTGACTGTCCCTGTTTGGTACAGGACCAGGCCTCTGGATAGGTTTGGAAGCACTCTTAGTCGAAAGGGCAGGTTGCCAAAGCTAGTCTTTCAGTAAGGGTGGGGCAGCCATGTCAGTCTTGTGTATCAGTGTTGGCTGCATTGTTACTCGTGCTCGTCAGTGTACTGTGGACCTCGGTTAGTTGTACCATTTTTTTTTAACCAACGCTTAATGTTTAGGTTGACATGACGTGCAAAGAACAAAAAAAAAAATGACTAGAACTAGAACAACACGACCTACATATGGGATGGTCTGGCCTGGTCCGGTTCCAGCAGAATACTCCTAGCAGGGAGCAGAGCAGCACAAGTCAATACCGAAACTCCTGGGCAGGACGGCGCTTCTTCCTAGCATTGAACACGGCTACCACATTCACCCAGTTCAGACCATCACTGGGCAGGAGAGCTGCAGTCATCAGATCGCCCAGTTTGGCGTCGCCCAGGCAGGTCCGCTTCCACGTCTTGATACGGTTCTGGCGACTGAAGCCACGCTCGCACTCCACCGTGCTGAGGGGGAGCACAGCTACGGCCTGCCACAGCTGCACAAGGTTCGGGTACGCTCCCATGTAGTCAGTTGACTGGAGCATGAGCGAGAGCGACTTGTGGAAGCTCATGTTCCCGTGGTTGGTATCCATGGTGTGGAGAAACAATGGTAGCTCCCTCTCGCACGCCTTGAAGCACACACCTGCCAGGATGGGAGAGCAGAGCAGTGAGAGGGGCGATCGGGGCGTATAGGAGGTGTTTAACAGCACACCAAGGTACACACACACACACAGCAGACAGCACATTGCAGGCACAACCAGGTGGCGTACCAAAGAGGCGGTGGTGAAACATGTGGTCTAGCATGCCCAACCACTCGCGGCACTTCTTCATCCGCTGCGCGTTGTCGTCGGGATAGCACGATGGCCGGAAAAGCTTGGAGCCGGCCAGGTTCTTGAGGTCTTCCAGGCGGAACTCCAGTCGCGCAACGCAGACCCTCGCAAACTCCTGGCACACCGCCTTGCAGGAGTAGTAGTCCCCGCCAGTCTTATGGCCTGGGATCTTGCGCTCGTGAAGCACGAACTCGTGCTCTGCAGCTTCGCCGTTCTGGTCCACGCCTTTGACAGTGACTTCGCGGTGCTCGGGGTTGCCGTGTTTCTTCAGGAACGCGCAGAGCAGGGGTGACTGATCGTTGCCAAAACGATCCTCGCAGTCCACGTAACGCACATCGATCGTCCGGCAAGCGAGTGACACCTCCCCCGCGACCACAGTGATGTCAACCTGTGAGTGGGCGTGGGATGAATAGTTGCTGCCAGAGGTTGATGTACAATGGGTCAGAACGGCGCACAACAACTGGGAACATGGCAGTGAAACAAACGCCTATATGTACAACCAAAGCACTCCACATGTCACCTGTTGCTTCTGGAACTTGGCGTTGAGCTCGTTGAGCACGGCAAGAATGTCTGCAAGGAAGAAAAGCATGAAGTGGAATTTGAAAGAGGTGACCGTTTCGTATAGCGCGTGCTTGAAATCGTGCAGCAGGACGATTGTCGCCGGCAGAACCTTGGCGAACCGCTTGACTGCCTCTCCTCTAGAGAGCCATCGCACGTCGTGGATCCCCTGCAGCTCCAGGTTGGTTTCGCAGATGTACTCCTGAAGGTGCTCGAATCGCCGGTGCCAGTTGCTCGACCTAGAAAGCTGCTCTGCCACGTTGCGCACCGCCTGGTCTATGATGTTGAACTCCGTCACCTTCTCAGCGGCATCCTTCGCGGCCAACGCCTCCCTGCTCAAGGTAGAACGCAGGATGCCAGAGATTGAAGTGAGTGGGCAGTACATGATCAACACACACCTGCCATAAAGCCAGTAACAATGACGGACTTACCGATGTGCGATGCAGTGGCACGACACGAGATAGGGATTCCGCTGCCGGAGTCGTGCCACAACACCATTGCTGGTGCCCGTCATTACTCTGGCGCCGTCGGTGCTGATTCCAACAATCTTGGACAAGTCAATGCCCACGGCGTCAAGGTGGGTCAGTAGCACGTCGACTAGACTTGCCGCGTCACACTTGTCAACTGTCAGCAGCGTGAGGAACTCGCAGACGCTCGCTCCCTCCTTCATGAAGTGGACGTAGACGATCATGTGCTTGCCGCGCGCCTTGTCAGTACTCTCATCGAGCTGAATGGAGATGTACGGGCTCGCCTCGATCTGCTTCAATTGCTCTTGCCGCATGTACTTCGCTGCAGCATCTAGCAGCTCCCCGAAACCGTACCTGCATGATACAAGCACAGAGGTTAGCACGTGATCAGTCAAGGCAGTTGTAACGGAACAAGTACAACGACACCAAGTACCCCGAAACTTACTCCGAAAAGTAGTTTCCCTTGGAATGCAAGGGAAGGTTCGGGACTCCGAGCTCATCCATGAACTTGATGGTGCCCACGTAGGAGGTGATTGGCGCCTCCGACTTGCAGATGTATACGGTAGTCTTGAGAGCGGTGATGATGTGAAGAGTGCTGCGATCCAACCCCTCGAACTGGCTCAGCAGCGTTTGACGAAGCTTCCGGCTCTCCTTCGACTTCATCTCGGCGTGTGCGTCCTGGTGTGCGGTGGAGCGCTGGTGCGTCCGGATGCTCCCCTTCTGCATGTCACGCCCTCCACTGCCTCCCTTGCCGTAAGCCGTTTTCGCGCCTTCAGCTCCATGTTCCAAGCATGTGCTGCATCTCAAAATGGGGAAGCCAACATCATCACGAGTTAAAATTAGCCACGGAAACAAAGAATCCCATGAAGTCTTAAATCGCTTATGCGCTTTAGCGAAAGCGATCTCGGGGTAACGGGCCATCTCTTCGACAGTCGGCAGGCCGTCTTCTTCCTCCTCGTCATCACTTCCCTCGTCCTCCACTCGTCGAATTGGACGTGCCGCCCGCTTCACAGAGGGCTTCGGTTGTCGCCACCACTGCTTAGCACTGTCACCGCTTGACTCTTTGCGCTTCTTGTTCGCAGAGTCGCCAGCCGCATCGCCTATCTCCGTTTCAGGAGCCGTCGCTTCTGGAGGTGAGGGTTCCGCCGTGGTAGTGCAAACTTCAGGCGAGCGCAGGTCACGCCCTGATTCATCCGCACGGGTTTCGTCCTCGGTTGAAGCAACTACGGGCTCCGGATCTGACAGCTTCTTAGCGGGGGTTCGTAGAAAGCTGAGGCCCGTTCGCAGGGGTGATTTTTGGAGTTCACGGCGTGCCTCGTCGTCACCATCGGTGGTTTCGTCAGCAGCCATGGCGAGGGCCAGAGGGGTGGTTGCAGGAGCTGGGCCTACGCTAGCTATTGGGAGAGCGTGGTGGTGGGGTGGTGTGCAAACCCTAGACCAGACGAGATAGCGAGGAGGCAGAATTGAGAAATGAGACAAGGAGGACTGGGTTGGGTGCGTGGGAGAGACTGGTCGGTGGGTGGGGGCCTGCTGGGGAGGGAAGAAGAAGCTTCCATGCTGGACACACCTCCTGCACGAAGCAGGTGTGTGTGGCGCTGCGCGGCATTGCCAGCTGGGAAGATTGCATGTGAGCCAGGTACAGTTGACGAGCCTGTGGCAGTGGCGACGCGAGCCGTCAAGGCGACGCGCACATCTGCTGACTCAGGCAAAACGCCGCTAATCACGGCAGAATCTTGTCAGTACCCCCCACCCCCCACCCCGCCGCGTGAAATCGCATCAGGGTGGTATGCGACACTAGTCTTTGTCATCAGGGCGAGTACACCAGGCCTGTCTTAAAAATCAGTGTTAACAAAATGAACACTTTTTCGGCTAAGGGTGCCTCATAAAACAAGTTTAAAAAACAAGGGTGATCACCTAAACCCACCCTTATAGTAAGGGCCATAAGGGTGTTTTACCCTGATATCGAGAGGCCTGTACACGACTATCTTGGCGCGTGTTGCTGACGCCTTCAGGCGACGGAAAAAAATCACTGGAACAAATGCCACTGTAAGGCGTACAGTATTTCTTTCCATGATACATTTCCATCATATATGTTCTAACACTGTAAAATGGTGAGCCTGATGATATAGATCTACACCTCATAAATTAAATAGACTCCCCATTACGAGTACATATGGCCATTACAAGTGATGAATCTTCTCCATGTCAACCACCTCTGAGAGGGTGCCCGCATCTAGATGGTCCCACCAGGCAGGAAGGAACCGGTCCACTACAAGACGGAACCACGGTGACAGCACCACTCCATCCTCCTCAATGTCTGCCTTGCGCACCAGCTCCTTCAACTCCTCTCTATCCACAAATCTAACAGCAGCCACCTCGTTAGGGTTTGGAGTGGCCTTCAAGTCAGCCTTGAGTACAAGGAGGTAGTCAACTGCATGAACAGGATGGGGACATGAAGGTAAATTTGACAAGCCATGAAAATTTCCAGGTTCAGGAGAAGTGAAATCGTGGCACAAAGAGGGGAAACAAGAGACCAACAAATCACTTGCAGAATGTTGCAAATCAAGTGTTAAACAGAGAAAATATGAGACACGAGCTTTAAGCAAGGAAGACATTCCACCACATCAGCACGGAGAACCCACCCACCACTTTGAGAAAGAGGTACATCCACCACCTTGATAGGGAAGGGATTCCACCACAATGACAAGGAGGGCCATATTCATGATGCAGATTTCCCTCTGATCAAAGCTCAGAGCATGCACTCACTCTCATGCTCGCCCCATTTCCCGTCAGAAGGAGCCTTCTAATGCATGCAGTCCAGGCACGTGAAGGCCGACACATCCACCGTGTCCGGGTCGATCCCCAGCTCAGAGCATGCACTCACTCTCATGCTCGCCCCATTTTCCATCAGAAGAAACTCACTCTCATGCTCGCCCCATTTCCCATCAGAAGAAACTCACTCTCATGCTCGCCCCATTTCCCATCAGAAGAAACTCACTCTCATGCTCGCACCATTTCCCATCAGAAGAAATTCACTCTCATGCTCTCCCCATTTCCCATCAGAAGAAACTCACTCTCATGCTCTCCCCATTTCCCATCAGAAGAATCTCACTCTCATGCGCTCCCCATTTTCCATCCGAAGGAGCCTTGTAGTGCATGCGGCCAAGGCACGTGAATGCCAACACATGATGCGGATTGATCTGTAACCAATGCTCAGTGCACTCACTCTCATGCTCGCCCCATTTCCCATCAGACGGAGCCTTGTAGTGCATGCGGCCAAGGCACGTGAACGCCGTCACGTCCACCGTGTCCGGGTCGATCCCCAGCTCGTCCTCCAGCTTGCGCCGCGCCGCCACGCGCACTCCCTGCGCGTTCGCCTCCTCCATCTCCTCTGGACGGTACAGCGGGTGGCTGCAGCACGTGTTGGTCCACACCAGGGGGAACGTCACCTTGCACGCTGCACGTTGCTGGGCAGAGGGATTCAATAGGGATACAGGGGGGATTTCTTTGAAACCAACCACGTAGCAGGACCATATTCAGTTACATGTGTCTGAGAGAACAGGCAACATCAGATGAGCCAATGAGCTTGTGCAGAACTAAAACTTTGTTACACCTGTACCGGCTAGGCTACATTTGCTGCTCTGCTGATATTTTTTTTGGGTACCTGGAGCATTAGGCGGTGCTGGGAGTCGAAAAGGAATACGCTGAAGGCACGGTGTCGCGCCGTGCCTTTATTGATGTTCTCCATAATGTGGCCTGTAGGGCAAGTTATGAAATGAGGTGATTCTTGAGTCGACACAAAAAAACACAGAAGCCATGTGTGTTCGTTAATATCCTCCGCGATAGGCAGTGATAGCCGAAAGGAAGATTGACATGTACGTGTTTGGCTAAGATGAATATGCGTCCAATGCTAGATATGATCCCAAGGCTGCTCATTTACTCACAAGTGTACTTATTGGCGTGACCCACCGCCTTGTCGTTTTCATCTACGAGAATGCACCTGCGACGGCAGGCACCGAAAGGACAAGGTACTAAGAATCGTCATTGCAGGAGACACGTCATGAAGCCAACGCCTTAACAAACAACTCCTAGTGACCAACACCTAATAAACGATTTATGCAGGTTTTGAAGGCTCCTGGGCCGAGAGGCCTTGATCGATCGGTGCGGTGGCTTGTGACCTACTCATCGTCGAACATGAGTCGCTGCTGCACCGCATCCATCTCCTCCGCCGCACCCGCCGCTCCCTGCTCCGTCGCTATGCTCCCCATCCCGCGAAGAACAGCCTTCTCGCGGCTGAGAACCGAAAGCGACGATGATGATGAATGTGACTTGTAGCTAGTTCTGAGGCTCGCGAACCGTGCGAGGCTAGGCGAGTAAGTTAGAGAGGAAGGAGCGAGTGAATTATGGGGTGTAATTCTGGGTTGAAACGACGGATCAGTTGGAACACTGTTAATGGAACGAAAGAGGTGGCGTGATGGGGGTGGATACGCAGGAGAAGAGGGACGAGGCACGGGATTAAACACCCCGAGAGGACGGGATAGCTGGGCTGTTGCAAGAGAAGCTCGCGTGGAGAGAAAACGCGGGATCGCTGATGAGCGGAGGAGGGCAATGGCTGCACTTGGAGTTTTGACAGCCATGTAATATCGCCAAAAAGAAAGGGAGGGGTGAGCCAAAAGAATTCTGGCGACCAGGACCATTCTTTCGCTGAGCGGCGAACAGTAGGACGGAGCAGAGAGAAGAGGGGAGTGGAGGGAGTTCTGTCTCTGGGATGGAATGGAAAACTGAGGGAGGAAAAGAGAGTGGAGGGGGTGGAGATGGGTGGAAGTTTGGCCTTGCCTGCGGGTAGGGGGAAATAGGAAGTTCAAGCCCAGCCCTAGGCGAACGCGCCAGACAAAATCGGTGGTGGTGACCTGATTGGCCCGCAGAGGGAGGCCACCGAACCTAGAAAGAGTCGAATTAGGAATCAATATTTATACTAAGGCTTCTATTGAATTGTATTGCTTACCGCATACGAGAGTATCGAGGATCCCTTTCCCACTCTGCCTCCAAAATATACTGGCTAGCCCGCACTTCCCGTCGCTATTAGGGCTCCGCCTGCTGCATTCTGCCGTGGTTCCTTCCGCTTCCTTTCTCCGCCGCCGCCTTCCGTCTTTCTCCTCCGCTCCCCACTCTCCGCATCCTCCGCATCCCCGTTCCGCTTCCGCATTCCGCCATGAGCTTCGCCGCCACGGCCGCGACCCTTCGGCGGGAGCTGCAGCAGCAGCGCGCGAGGCAGCTTTACCGCCGATCGCTCAAGAACACGCTCAGCTGGGCGATCTTTCGCGACATCTACTACGACGAGGCGAGTTTTCGCGAAAACACATCGTTTCCTTTCTTTGCTGGTCAAGGATCTGCGTCAAAACAACCTTCAACTAACGATCTTTCCGTATTTGCTTCCGAATGTTTTCCGCAACTACCAACTTCTCACGCGCGTGCTATTGCGTACGCGCTATTGCGCGTTGCTATTGCTTTCGCGCTGATGTCGTGTGGCAGGCCGACAAGCTCCGCGCGCTGTTCGAGGCGAACCGACATGAGGTGAGGCGGCTGGGCAGATTGGCGCATTTGTTCTATAAGGACGCATTTTCCGCACGCTCGCACGCATGCAGTGCGATTGCGAGGTCTCTGAAGTTGAGGGTCGCTGCTCATGCCGAATCCCTAGTTTCCCTTCTCTTCGCCTTCTCCTCCTTATCGTTCTCCCCCCCTCGCCCGCTCTCCCCTCTCCGCCCCCTCCCGCCGGCCAGAGCGATGCGGATCGGATTGACCGTCTGCTGGCAGCGGGAGAGGCGAAGCTGAAGGAGAACCAGCACCCCGACCCGTACCTTGGTGAGTGCGCCGTGGCGCGATCAGCGTATGGCTTCTTGTGGGGCCTCAACTATCCTTACATCTCAAGCTGAAGGAGAACCAGCACCCCGACCCGTACCTCGGTGAGTTGTGGCACGAGAGGCTTGTGGCGTTGAAGGCATTCGAGAATCACTTATCACAAGCTCCAAGCCAACCTACAACCCGTTTTCCCGTTCCCCGTCCTCGCCCCACCGCAGTCCCTTGGCTGTATGGCGGATCCAAGTTCGCTCGCAACCTTTCCACGCACTCTCCTTCCTCCCTTCTTCCCCCCTGCTCCTACCTGCTCCCCCCTGTCCCTCTCTTGCCTCCCACCTCCACCCTCCCCACCGCAGTGCCATGGGTGTATGGCGGATCTAACTACGCTCTCAACCCTCCCTTCCCCCCACGCACTCTCCTTCCTCCCTCCCTCCCCCCTGCTCCTCCCTGCTCCCCCCTTCCCCCCCCCTGTCCCTCTCTTCTCTCCCCACCCTTCCCTCTCCACTGCAGTGCCATATGTGTATGGCGGATCCAAGTACGCTCGCAACCCTCCCTTCTCCCAAGAGGTAAGCAGCGTTCACCCTACAGCCCTCCTCGTTAAGCAGTACTAGTGCCAGTGGGGCAGGCAATCAACAGCATCACTCTTCATCTCGTCACGGTCATTCTCGGTCGCGGCACCAGCACTGTCGCGTTTGCTTCTGCCTCCTCCACTGTTCTTTCGCTTCGCAACTGACGAGTCGTCCTCGTGTGGGTGTGTGTGCCTGTGGGTGTGTGTGCCTGTGGGTGTGTGTGCCTGTGGGTGTGTCCGCCCCTGTGTGTGTGCCTGTGTCTGTGCGTGTATGTATGTGACTGTATGTATGGCTCTGTGCGTGCATGCATGCGGATGTGTGTTTGTGTGTGCCCTCTGCACTTGTCCTCCTCTGTGCGGCAGATCAGCATTGTGCATGGATTCGGCGAGGAGGAGCATTAGCACCATTTCTTTTCAGCAAGATAGATTATGACACAGATTGTTGCTTGTCCAATTCCTCTCCAGCCATGCTTGCACTTCCTTGTGTGGGGTGACTTTGCTGTATCAATGACAATCACAATCAAAGCTGAATCACAACATGGTTTTTCTTGCTTTATGCTTTCCACTTCTACAACCAAGAAAGGGCTCGTCGATTCAAACTTTCTGTTTATTCTCTCATCGTCCCATTCTACTCGCCTCCTCTTTCCATCTCCTCTTTCTCTCACACCTCCCATATCCCACCATTTCCTCCTCCCTTTTGAGCCTCCCCTCTATTCTCTTCCTCAGCTTCTCCCCACTCCTTATCTCTCCCCCTCTCCACTTCAACCTTCAAGTTCCTCCTCCTTTTCCTTTCTCTTATTTTTCCCCTCCCGTCTTGCCTACCTCCCTACCAGCAGCCCCGTTTTCAGCCACACGCACACTCTCACCCACTCCCTCTCTGCCCTTTCCACTCCACATGCACCTAGGCACAGTGGTTCAGCTATGCTTGCCCCGCACCTGATCACCAATCGTTGCCTTTTCCATGGGCATAGTTCCAGGTCCGTTGCTGGTAGTAGCAGCAGCATCACCAGCAGCAGAAGCATCAGCAGCACCAGCTGCAGCATTAGCAGCACCAGCAGCAGCAGCAGCAGCAGCAGCAACAGCAGCAAGAAGAAAGCACCGAAGCCCGACCCTCCCCGCGACCGCCCCTTCATTGATCGCCTGCGCGTGCGAGTGGAAGGCGGGCGCGGGGGTGGCCGAAGCATCAGCACCACCACCACCACCAGCACCAGCAGCCCTAGCACCAGCAGCAGCAACCCTAGCTCCAGCAACAGCAGCAAGAAGAAAGCACTGAAGCCCGACCCTCCCCGCGATCGCCCCTTCATAGATCGCCTGCGCGTGCGAGTGGAAGGCGGGTGCGGAGGCAGCGGTTGCTCCTCCTTCCGCAAGTCCCGGCACGCACGGCACGGGGACCGCGACGGGGGCAACGGGGGGGAGGGCGGGGGGGTCACGCTCACTGCCTCGGCGGCTGTGAGGCACCTGGGGAATGTAGATAGGACGGTGAAGGGGGGCGCGGGCGGGCATGGATCGAGTAAGAAGCGAGTGGGGGCGAGGGGGGTGGAGAGGGAGGTGAGGGTACCTGTGGGGACCGCGGTGTATTTGCTGGAAGGGGAGCTTCCCCTGGGGGGTATTGGGGATGAATCTGGTGCTCCTGCTGCTGCTGTTGGTGCTGTTGGTGCTCCTGCTGCTGCTGGTGATGCCAGTGCTGCCAGTGCTGCCAGTTCTGCTCCTGCTGCTGCTGGCTTTGCACTGGAAGCAGCGGCAGGTGCCTCGTCAGTGGCTGCTGGTGGTAGCGGCAGCATGCCTGCCTCTCCGCCCTGGTGGGCTGCTCTCTTCGAGTCTTCCAAGGGAGAGCAGGAGGATGAGCGGATGGGAGAGGAAATGGAGGCGAAGCAAGTGGAGGAGGAGGGGGAGCGGGAGGGGGAAGGGGAGGGGGAGGTGGGGGAGGTGAGGAGGAGGAGGGGCGAAGAACCGTACTGGCAGCAGCTGCTGCAGCAGTGGGCTCAGGAGAGGTACGGGCAGAGGCGGGCAGAGGCTGCTTATGAGGGGAGCGATGGGAGCGCTTGGGATGAGGGGGGGAGTGTAGATGCCAAAGCGTTGCATTCTCATGGGATGGCACATAAGAGGGCGCGGGAGCGAGGCGCGCTGGTGGCAGATTTGGTGGAGGAAGGGCAGAGCGTGACAGTGGCCCGAGGAGGGAGGGGCGGCAGGGGGAACGCGTCCATGGGACGAGTGAAGCCGTGGGAGATGGAAGAAGAGTCTGATTCGCCACATGCGAACGGTGGTGCGGGGAGCAGGGCGGTTGCAGCAGGGGCAGCAGCAGGGGCAGCAGAGTGTGGCTTATCACACGAGAAGGGCAGTGCAGGGAGCAGGGCGGTGGTGGCTCTGGAGCTCAAGACAGTGGCGGATGTGGGGCTGGTAGGGCTGCCGAATGCGGGCAAGAGCAGCCTCCTGCGAGCGCTCTCCCGCGCCAAGCCTAGAGTCGGCTGGCACCCTTTCACCACTCTGCACCCCCAGCTCGGTACCGTCAGGTATGAGGATGAGAGAGTATGGACGGAGGGAGAGGGAACATGGCAAGGGGAGAATGCGCTGGGGGGGGAGGGAGCGTGGATTGGAGAGGGGGAGAAGGGAAAGGAGGGGGATGAGGGTGCTTGGGGTGAGCAAGGGGGATTTGCAGGAGAGAGTGGAGGGAAGGGGTCGAAGTGGGGTCTGGAGAGGGAGATGGGGTTTACAGTGGCGGATATTCCGGGGCTGATTGGCGGTGCACACAGGGACAGGGGGCTGGGGCTGTCATTTCTAAGGCATGTGGAGCGCACCCAAGTGATTGTCTACGTCCTCGATATGAGCGGCCCCAGTACTAGCACTGTCTCAGGTGACCTAGGCATCTCCGCCGAGCCAGGCACAACCAAACCAAGTGCTATCGAATATAGTGCTACCGAACCTAGCGCTACCGAACCTAGTGCAGTGTCGGCAGGAGCCCTGCCCCCTTGGCAGCAGCTGCAGGTGCTGGTGAGTGAACTGGAGCGGTACCAGCCAGGGCTGTCCCTGCGCTCCGCTCTCATCGCCGCCAACAAGATGGACGAGGAGGCTGCAAAGGGGAATTTGACTGAGCTGAGAAGGCGGCTGGGGGGCAGAGTTGAAGGGGCGGATGTGCTGCTTCCGGTGCCGGTGGTGCCGCTGTGTGCGGTGCTGGGGGAGGGGGTGCCGGAGCTGAAGGGAGCACTGAGGCACATGGTGTGGGGAGGGAGGGGTGTGTAGGACAGGTGCTGGTGAGTGAGCTAGAGCGGTACCAACCAGGGCTGTCCCTGCGGCCTGCTCTCATCGCTGCCAACAAGACGGACGAGGAGGCATCTGAGGGGAGTCTGGCTGAACTCAGAAGCCGGCTCAGAGGCGGATGTGCGTCTGGCGTTGCTGCTGGCGCTGCTGCTGGCGCTGCTGCTGGCGCTGCTGCTGGCGCTGCTGCTGGCGCTGCTGCTGGCGCTGCTGGTACTGATAGTGGAGGGAAGGGCAGGGAGGGAGTGGAGGGATTGGATGTTCCAGTGGCGGTGGTGCCGCTGTGTGCTGTTCTGGGGGACGGGGTGCCTGAGCTCAAGAGGGCTCTGAGGCACATGGTTTGGGGAGGGAGGAATGAGTAGGAAAGTATGCCACACTGCTACACCGTGCCGCATGTGCCTCACAGCCCTCTGCAGTTCCCCCCAGAGGGCTTGCAGTACTGGTGAGGGTGCGTGTGCGGCTGACCGCGTACTGTAATCTGCGTTTCTGCTGATAATATGAGCATCTGCTTCTGCTGATCTCGATTGCAATTTGGATGTCCAGCCTCGGACCAGCCAAATCGAAGCAGCTTAGGTACAGTTAGTGTATGTAGCACAGATGAACGTTTAGTGTTTTCTATAGCGCTAAACTGTATCCTGTACAAGTGCACTACAGCTCGGCCACAAAATGAGATACTACACATGCTTGTACCGCGTTTTCCTTCACCACACCAACCGTGCCCAATACAGCACCTCACACCAACAACACCTCGACTTTTCTCAAACCCAACAGAGCGAACAGAAAGCGAAGTTGCAAACCACGCTACATTTTTCTGTGCACTTTGCTCCACCTGCCGTCCGGCCGTTAGGGTTACGGCAAACTGCCTCTCACCCCTAGCCGCCTGATGCCTTTTACAGTACTGTTCCTCAATTCCCGTCGGCATTTCAGTTTTAGGTTTCCAACTGACTATTCCCAGGTAATGCCGTTTCTTACCGAGCTTGTAGTTAGCGGCTCGAGATATTTAATAAGCCTCTAGTGACGCACAGGTTTCGGGATGAAAGGAAAGAAACGGCCTGTTTTCGCGCTCGGCTGACTGAGTAAATGTCCACCGGCAGAAGCTGTCTAGGTTCTCCCCAGCTGGTTACTGTTTTTGCCTAACTGCTTTTCGTCGTACTATTTTCCGCCTGTCACTACAGACAGTCGCACACTGGCGATGCTTGGCGGGAGTGGTCGTAGTACCGTGTACTGTCGGCTCGCCGTTAGATGCTCACCCGGAGATTCTCCACCGTTTGATGGTTATCGCGAGATGCGCAGCTTATTGAGGCGACAATGCTTAGCTGACAATGCTTAGCTGGCAATGCTTAGCTGACAATGCTTAGCTGGCAATGCTTAGCTGACAATGCTTAGCTGACATTGCGTGCAACATGACTCCATTTTTCTTGTTAATCCGCCACCAGTAATTAATCATTATCGCTCTGGTGTCTTAACCGCGAAGCGTTACTCTTGCGTGCCAATTAGCATTCGCGGCCACCATAAACGGGCTCCCATGTCGTAACCGGGTTACCACCCTACGGCAGCAATGTCGGTGGAAGCTTCCGAGAGAATCTCCAGCACCCCGGCTGCGTCACATTTCACTTCTTCCGCTCATCGCGGCGGTAATTCCGGCGCCGTTTCCGGCGGGAAGCCCTCCGCAATGGCCTCTGCGAAGTCGGCAGGAGGGGGAAACGGGGCAGCTTCGGAGAACCTTCCAGGCCTCAAGGCCAGCAAAGGCGGAGGGGGGTCGCAGAGCGGAAGCGGCGCCGGGGGAACAGGCGGAGCACACGGGGGAGGGGGAGGGGGGGGCGGAGGGGGAGGGGGAGGGGGAGGCGGAGGCGGAGGCTTGGGAGGCGGAGGAACGGTGGGGGGAGGCGGAACAGGAACCGGCGGGTTTTCCAGCGGAGGCGCTGGTATGGGGGGCATTGGTGGAAGCAGCAGCAACAGTGGTGGCATGGGCGGTGGCAGCATAAGCAGCAGTGTGCCCGGTGGCGGGAACATCAATAGCATTACCAATAATATTAACAGCAGTAGTATGAGTGGTGGCGGCAAGATGGCGAATGGCTTAGGTGCCGCAGCTGGCGCAGGTGGCGGGGGTGGCGGGGGTGGCGGAGGTGGCGGGGGTGGCGGAAGCAACCCGCAGTTGCTTGGCGCGCAGCCGTCGTTACTGAGCAATGGCGCGGCGCCCGGGGGGAGCTTCGAGGCGGAGAGATTAAGGACTTACCGCCAGTGGTTCCACGAGCTGGACGCGCAGCGCAGCGAGTTAATCTCCTCGGGCACCAAAGGCCCGGTTCTTAAGTAAGCCCGGTTATTGAGTAAGCCCGGCTCCTAGGTAAGGCCTAGGAAAGCACGGTTCTTAGGTAAACCTGCTCCCTTGATGCCTCCCTACGCAGCAAACGCTCACATGAGACGCATCTTTAGGCAATGCCTTTGGTGTGTGCATATCCGTGACGTTTCTTCCTCCCTCTATCCGCCTCTCCCTGTGCCCCTCACTGAAGCTGCAAGACTCTACGCTCTCCTTTTTCGTCCACTCTAACCATTTATCCATGCTCTCTTTCCTCTCCCCCGAACCTTCCCCTTCCCGCACATCCCTCCCCCCCTTTCCCCCCAGGCTACTGGAGTGCGAGATCCGCTGTCTGGAGGAGCTGCTGATGCTGGGCACCAAGCTCGGCGCGCTGTCCCCTCTCTCCCCTTCTCAACCCACTCCAACTGTTCCTAACCCCACTCTTTTCCCCCCCATGCTGTTGGAGTGCGTGGGCACCAAGCTCGGCGCGCTGTGCTCTCTTTCTCCCCTTCTCAACCCACTCCAACCGTTCTCAATCATCCCCCCTCCCCCCCCCAGGCTGCTGGAGTGCGAGATACGGTGTCTGGAGGAGCTGGTGATGCTGGGCACGAAGCTCGGCGCGCTGTGCTGCTCGCCCATAGGCGCGGACGCTGCCAGGCTCTCTGCCCCCGCCGCCACTGCCATCCCTGGCAAGCCCCGCCTGTGAGTATCTCTTGAGGGGGCTCTAAAGTAGCAAGCTCGGCGCGCTGTGCTGCTCGCCCATAGGCGTGGACGCTGCCAGGTTCTCCGCCCCTGCTGCCACTGCCATCCCCGGCAAGCCCCGCCTGTGAGTATCTCTTGAGGGGGCTCTAAAGTAGCAAGCTCGGCGCGCTGTGCTGCTCGCCCATAGGCGTGGACGCTGCCAGGTTCTCCGCCCCTGCTGCCACTGCCATCCCCGGCAAGCCCCGCCTGTGAGTATCTCTTGAGGGGGCTCTAAAGTAGCAAGCTCGGCGCGCTGTGCTGCTCGCCCATAGGCGTGGACGCTGCCAGGTTCTCCGCCCCTGCTGCCACTGCCATCCCCGGCAAGCCCCGCCTGTGAGTGTCACTTTCCTGGGAGAAGCTGTACAACTCTGTGCAGGGGTTGTCAAGCTCGGCGCGCTGTGCTGCTCGCCATAGGCGCGGACGCCGCCAGGCTCTCCGCCCCCGCCGCCACCGCCATCCCTGGCAAGCCCCGCCTGTGAGTGTCACTGTCTCACCCTTACTTCGAAGGTATTGGTCATGTGAAGCAGCTACACTCGTTGTTGCAGCGAAAGCTGCAGCAGCTGGACACGATTCAGAAGTTGCTTTGTTTCTTCCTCTCTTTTCCCCCAACCTGCCCCGCTTTCAGAGGTGGTGGGGTGGACTCCTGGCCGTCCGATGATCCCCTGTCTCCAGTGGACGGTCTAGATCTCTCGCTGGTCACTGACATGCTGCTCCTCTCTGCCACGTCACCATGGACTGTCTACGTGGCAGACAGGACAAATGTAAGTAGGGAAAGGCACATAGGACGAATGTTGTATAAGCAAGGGAGCCAGGAGGGGGAATGAATATTCGTGCTGTGCTGTGCTGTGCTGTGCTGTGCTGTGCTGTGCTGTGTGGTGTGGCGCGGGTGCAATGCGGTGCGGTGTTGTGCTGGGCGGTGCGGTGAGGGTCTGTGCTGTGCACAGCATTCTGGGGTGGTTGCAGGCCTGGTTCCAAGCATTCCTTCCGTTTCTTCCCTGCCTCTCTTCCGACTCACTCACCCCACCCCCCTGCATACCCCCCTCCCGCCTCCCCTTCTCCCCCAAACTCCCCTTCCCCCCATCTTCCCCTCCTCCTTTCTCCCCCCCCCCCTCTCCCCCAGTGGCGGCTGTGCTACGTGTCTCCCAGTGTGCGCGCCACGCTAGGATGGCGCCAGGTGGAGCTAATAGGGGAGCACGCCTTCGCAGCCTGCCACGCAGACCACCTGCCCCGCATCCAGCGCATGATAGACGATCGCCGCTGGATGGAAGATCGGCGCTTGCTGGACGATCACCGCTCGCCGCCCCTCTCCCTCACCTGCATACACCCCCCCCCGCTCCCCCCCCCTCTCCCCGCTCTCCCTTCCCCCAGTGGCGCCTGTGCTACGTGTCTCCCAGTGTGCGCGCCACACTAGGGTGGCGGCAGGCAGAGCTGGTGGGGGAGCATGCCTTCGCAGCCTGCCACGCAGACGACCTGCCCCGCATCCAGCGCATGATAGACGATCGCCGCTTGACAGAAGATCGGCGCATGCTAGACGATCGCCGCTCGCCGCCCCTCTCCCTCACGCCGCCCACCGCCTCTGCTGCCTCTCGTCTCTTCCGGTCCGGGTCGGCGGGGAGTCCCCGAGGGGTTGGGGTCGGGGATTCGCTGGGTAGCAGTCCGGGCGGCAGTGCGGGCGGCGGGTGCGTCTTTTATCGGCGGTTAAGGCGGAACAGGAGTTATGCGACGGTGCAGGCCACTGGGAGGGCTCTGGGGGCAAGGTTAGCGTGTGGTGTGGTGTGGTGCGGTGTGGTGTGGGTGGGGACGGGTGAGCCGCGAGCGTATCCTGTCTGCTTGCTGTGATGGGCGTATGCCCGATGTCTGCCTGACTCTGCTGTGCCCTTGCAGGCCTGCACCCATGCATGCACCGTGCTCACGCGCTTATGCATCCATGCCGGCTTCCCTTATGCCCCATCATGCGCCATGCCCCACATCATCCCGTCCCCCAATGCCTTGCATGCAATCAGGTGGTTTGTGTGGATCGAGTTTGTCACTGACGACTCCTCCACCCCTCACGCGCCTATGCACCCATGCCCGTTTTCCTTGCGCCCCATGCCCCACGCTCCATATCATCCCCCCATGCCCCGCATGCCATCAGGTGGTTTGCATGGATCGAGTTTGTCACCGATGACCCCTCTGCCCCTCTGGTGAGTGCGCCCTTCTCCCCTCTTCCCACCTCCTCTCTTCTCCTCTCCTCTCCTCACGGCTCCTCTCATCCCATCTCTTCTCCTCTCCTCTCCTCTCATCTCATCCTCCCTTTCCCGTCAACCCACACTCACCAGCCTCCAGCCTCCAGCCGCCACTCCATCACCATCCCATGGGCCCGTCCCCTGTTCTCGCTTCATTGCGTTGCCTCCATCCCCCCTCTTCCCCCTCCCCCCTGCACCCTCCTCCTCCCCCAGTCACTTGACAACTGGTCATCGGATCTCACCATGTCACCATCCACGCTGCTCTCCCCCATGGAGTCGCCCTCTAGCCCCCACACCACACCATCGAGTTCCCCACACCACACCATCGAGTCCCCCACACCACACCATCGCTGCCGCCCTCACCTGCCTCCCTTGCTCCCTTCTTTGCCTTGCCTCCCCTCCCTCCCCCAGTCGCTTGACAACTGGTCGTCCGATCTCACCATGTCCCCATCCACGCTGCTCTCCCCCATGGAGTCTCCTACTAGCCCCCACACCATCGCCGCTGCTCTCAAGCGCCGCCCGGGCGGCATGGGCGGCAGCAGCCTAAGCGCGGGCGGCTTAAGTGCCGGCGGCCTAAGTGGGGGAGGTTTAGGCGGGGGAGGTTTGAGCGGGGGAAGTTTAAGTGTGGGCGGTTTGAGCGGTGGTGGGTTAAGTGGCGGAGGTTTGGGCGGCGGGAGTTTAAGTACTGGCGGTTTGGGTGGGGGTGGGCTGATTTCGGATGACCTAGGGGGGCCTGGGGGAGTGGGTGTGGGTGGTGGGGGTGGTGGTGGTGGTATTGTGATCAGTAGCTTATCTTTACCACGCAACAGAGACAGAGAGAGGGACAGAGACAGGGACAGGGACAGGGATAGAGATAGAGAGAGGGACAGCGATAGGGATATTTCCCCTCTCACGCGCTTGCACATGGGTCTAGGACTAGAGACATCAAAGGATAGTTTACACAGAGTGGGTATGGGCCTGGGTTTAGGACTAGAGATTAAAGACCTAGAGTCGTCATTACGCCGCCGCCCCAACACCAGTGGAGGGGGGGCATCAGGGGTGCTGGGTGGGAGTGGAGGAGGGGGGGGTGGCGGAGGCAGCAGCAGCAGCGGGGGCGGATTGGGCAGCAGCGGGAAGGGGTTGGGGGGAGGGGGAGGGGGAGGAGGGGGCGGGGTGCTCGGGGCGAGTGGGGGAGGGGAAGGAGCAGAGCTGCTGTCTGCATTCTCCTCTCTACCGTTCCGCACCCCTTCAGAAATGGAAGAATTCAGAAGGAAGCTTGAGACCATGCGGCTGGACCTTGCTGGGGGAGGCGCTGGGAAGAACTGGGGTGGGGGGGGAGGCGGGGGAGGGGGAGGCGGCGGAGGAGGAGGGGGAGGCGCGGGGGGAGGTGCGGGGGGAGGGGGGAGTGGAGGGGAGGGCGTGGGGGGGCGGAAGGGGGAGAAGGCGTGGGGGCAGCACCTGGGGACGGTGAAGGAGGGGAATGAGGAGAAGGGGGCGTATGCTCGGCGGCTGTTGAACAACCTGTGGGAGTATAATAGTGAGATGGACGGGCTCTCCAAGGAGTCCAGCCAGCAGAACAGGTACAGTGCTGTGCGGTGCTGTGCAGTGTTGTGTGCGGTGCTGCACGGTGATGCTTTGTATGAGTCGTATGCCGGCGGCCTAAGTGGGGGAGGTTTAGGCGGGGGAGGTTTGAGCGGGGGAAGTTTAAGTGTGGGCGGTTTGAGCGGTGGTGGGTTAAGTGGCGGAGGTTTGGGCGGCGGGAGTTTAAGTACTGGCGGTTTGGGTGGGGGTGGGCTGATTTCGGATGACCTAGGGGGGCCTGGGGGAGTGGGTGTGGGTGGTGGGGGTGGTGGTGGTGGTATTGTGATCAGTAGCTTATCTTTACCACGCAACAGAGACAGAGAGAGGGACAGAGACAGGGACAGGGACAGGGATAGAGATAGAGAGAGGGACAGCGATAGGGATATTTCCCCTCTCACGCGCTTGCACATGGGTCTAGGACTAGAGACATCAAAGGATAGTATACACAGAGTGGGTATGGGCCTGGGTTTAGGACTAGAGATTAAAGACCTAGAGTCGTCATTACGCCGCCGCCCCAACACCAGTGGAGGGGGGGCATCAGGGGTGCTGGGTGGGAGTGGAGGAGGGGGGGGTGGCGGAGGCAGCAGCAGCAGCGGGGGCGGATTGGGCAGCAGCGGGAAGGGGTTGGGGGGAGGGGGAGGGGGAGGAGGGGGCGGGGTGCTCGGGGCGAGTGGGGGAGGGGAAGGAGCAGAGCTGCTGTCTGCATTCTCCTCTCTACCGTTCCGCACCCCTTCAGAAATGGAAGAATTCAGAAGGAAGCTTGAGACCATGCGGCTGGACCTTGCTGGGGGAGGCGCTGGGAAGAACTGGGGTGGGGGGGGAGGCGGGGGAGGGGGAGGCGGCGGAGGAGGAGGGGGAGGCGCGGGGGGAGGTGCGGGGGGAGGGGGGAGTGGAGGGGAGGGCGTGGGGGGGCGGAAGGGGGAGAAGGCGTGGGGGCAGCACCTGGGGACGGTGAAGGAGGGGAATGAGGAGAAGGGGGCGTATGCTCGGCGGCTGTTGAACAACCTGTGGGAGTATAATAGTGAGATGGACGGGCTCTCCAAGGAGTCCAGCCAGCAGAACAGGTACAGTGCTGTGCGGTGCTGTGCAGTGTTGTGTGCGGTGCTGTGCGGTGATGCTTTGTATGAGTCGTATGCTCGGCGGCTGTTGAACAACCTGTGGGAGTATAACAGCGAGATGGACGGGCTTTCCAAGTAGTCCAGCCAACAGAACAGGTACAGTGCTGTGCGGTGCTGGGTGGTGCTGTGTGGTGCTGGGTGGTGCTGTCCAGTGCTGTGTGGTGCTTTGTGCGGTTACGGAAACGTATTGTGATGCTTTGATACGTCTCCAAACTCAACGTCCCTCCGCCCGATTTCCCCCTTCCCCCTCCCCCACCCTTCCCACCCCCCCCCCAACAGCAGTCTGGATTCCAACGAGGAGGTGCAGCAGATTGTGAAGATGCGCGTAGAAAAATCAAGCTCACCCTCTCTCTCGCACCCTCCCCACTCCTCTTATTCCCTTCCCACTGCGCCCTCCCAACAGCAGTCTGGATTCCAACGAGGAGGTGCAGCAGATTGTGAAGATGCGAGTGGAGATGGAGCGACAGGCTTCAGCAGCAGCATCAGCCTCCCATGGCTCGTCCACACGCCTTGGCATGGGCATGGGCATGGGCGTTGGCATGGGTATGAGCATGGGCATGGGCGGAATGGGCATGGGAAAGGGCCTATCTGGTGTAGGTGCAACTGCTGCCTCCTCCTCCTCCTCTGCCTCTGCTGCCGCTCGTCGCGCTGCTGTTTTGGATCGGGCTATGGGGGGGAGTGGAGGGCTGGATGGGAGGGGGATGGAGGGGCGAGGGGTGGATTTACGGGACGGGAGGGGCGGCGCGGGAGGAGGATCGGGGTCGTTTTTTGACACGGGGCAGAAGACGAAGCAGAAATCAGGCTCGGGTGCAGGTTCGGGCGTTGGTTCGGGGGTTGGTTCGGTGCTTGACGGGCCTACAGCGGAAACGCTTCGGAAGGTTCTAGATGATGATGATGACGATGATGAGGAGGAGGAAGAAGAGGAGGAGGAAGAGGAGGAAGAGGAGGGGGAGGATGACGAGGAAGATGAGGAAGAGGATGAGGACGATAGTGGGAGTGTTGTGGATCGGAGCTTAAAAGTTCCTTTGTACAAACGGTCAGCAACAGCTTCGAAAGTTTCGCGGGAGGAAATTTTCCACCTACCCGTGCCCGATCCCAGCCAATACAATCGCTCGAGAAGCGTGCCGAAATCCCACGAGCGACTCAAAGGAGGTAGAGGAGGGGGGGATGGCGGAGGAACCTCGGCAGAAAAAGGCGAGCGAGGGGAGAAAGGCGAGAGGGGAGAAAGAGGAGAGAGAGGCGAGAGGGCAGAGAGGGGAGAGAGGGGTGAGAGAGGAGAAAAGGGCGATAGGAGAGAAAGGGTGGGGTTGAGCCGAGGGGGGAGTGCAGGCGGGCCCACAAAAACCCTCTTCCTCGAAGCTAGCGGCTCCTCCTCTGCCGGGTTTGGGCTCTCCCTCTCCCCACGGGGAGGAGACCGAGCAACACGAGGAGGATAGAGAGGCGGAGAGAGAGGAGGGGGAGGAGGGGGGGCGGGAGTGAGCGGCGGAGTGGGCGGCGGAGTGCTGACGGTGTCCAAGCCGTGGAGCCCACTCCCTCTGACGGCCTCTAACCAGCTGGGGGGAGCCCGAGGGGCGAAGTCATTCACGGGGGGATCAGCCTTCCTGGAATCTCTTCCTGAGGACGACAAGAAACTCATCCGCGGGTTCAAGGTGCGTGCAAGGTGCAGGGTTTCAGGTGTAGGGGTTTGAAGCCCAACACCGGAGTGCTGACGGTGTCCAAGCCTTGGAGCCCACTCCTTCTGATGGCGTCCAACTAGCTAAACTTCTGAAATTTCTCAATAGCGGGTCTTGGTAGTTGAAGACGATATAGTCAACTGCACCATCAGCCGACAGCAGCTCTTAGAGCTCCTCTCCTGTCGGGTCAACCTCACACGCAACAACCTGTTCTTATCCCTTCCCCAACAGGTGCTAGTGGTGGAGGATGACATAGTCAACTGCACCATCAGCCGACAACTGCTGGAACTCCTCTCCTGTCGGGTCACGCTCACACGCAACGGCCGTGACGCACTCGACCTCATGCGGGGCGGAACAGACCTGGAGTTGGAGGCGCAAGAGGCGGCGGTGGTGGCAGCAGGGGGCGCGGAGGAGGGCGCAGAGGTGGCACCGCAGTTTGACCTGGTGCTGATGGATCTGAACATGCCAGTGATGGATGGGATTAAAGCGGTGGAGCAGTTTAGGGAGTGGGAGGAGCTGGCCGAGCCGCGACGGCAGGCGACACTGATATTCGCTGTGACTGCTAACGTCTCAGGTAAGAGAGGGGCGTTGACCTGGTGCTGAGGGATCTGATCTGAACATGCCTGTGATGGATGGGATCAAGGCTGTGGAGCAGTTCAGAGAGTGGGAGGAGCTGGCAGAGCCTCGACGGCAGGCCACACTGATATCCGCCGTCACTGCCAACGTCTCAGGTGAGAGAGGGGCTCTGCGCGGGGATTAAAACAGCAGGGTGTGAGGTGAATTCTAAGTGCTGGCGCGTGGAAGTGTGTGGGGAGAGAGAGAAGGAGAGGTGGCGCCGCAGTTTGACCTGATGGATCCGAACATGCCGGTGATGGATGGGATCAAGGATGTGGAGTAGTTCAGAGAGAGGGAGGAGCTGGCGGAGCGCGCAGTTTGACTTGTTGCTGATGGACTTGAACATGCCTGTTGTCATGCGTTCTCCCTTCCACGGCAACAAGGTGAAGTGTGCCCAGAAGGGCTTTGACGAGTTCCTGAGCAAGCCACTGATGAGAAACCCCCCTTCTTCCCACCAATCCCAATCCGCTTTTCCATAGACGGCAACATGGTGAAGTGTGCCCAAAAGGGCTTTGAATTTGGGTACTGTTGACACTGTGGAAGAGAGAGGGAGATGGGTGGAGCGATTTTTGAGTCGACTCAAAAATCGCCTCATCACATGCGAATTTGGGTACTGTGAACAGTGTGGAGGAGAGAGGGAGATGGGTGGAGCTAGCGTTCATCACACCAACACCCACAGTTTCCATTGTATTACAGTTTTTAGACTTCAGATATGATCAGAGCCGCGACTCTGATTGGTGCAGGAGAGGTGGGGGAAATCGAAAGGGAAGAGTGGGTGACGAAAGTGTTCAAGGGGTAGTTTGCATAGAGAATTAATTATATGCTGATTGATTCTCGTACAACAGAGTCAATCAACGTACATCAAATTCTCTATTCAAATAACTCCTTGAACATTTTCGTCACCCACTCTTCCCCTACGATTGTACTTACCTCTCATGCATCAATCAGAGTCGCTGCTCTGATCATATCTGAAGTCAAAAAACTGTAATACAATGGAAACTGTGTGGGTGTTCGTATGATGAACGCTAACTCCATCCCTCTCCCTCCCTTTTCCACAGTGTCAACAGTACCTAAACTCCCCCTCGTACCATCTATCATCAACCGTACTGCATATCTCCTTTGGTATTGATTCAAGAAGAGAGTTTTCTTAGTCGGCAAACTTCCCCTCTTTCCCCGCACCCGACTCCTCTTTCTTCCAGATGGCAACATGGTGAAGTGTGCCCAGAAGGGCTTTGACGAGTTCCTGAGCAAGCCACTGACGCCCGAGAAGCTGCTGAACCGCCTGCGAGAAGTGTGCCGGCGCCAAACCATCCACCGCGCAATCTGAGACCCTTTGAGAATCCCGCCCTCTCACAGCATCCACTATGCCCTCTCACAGCATCCACTATGCCCTCTCACAGCATCCACTATGCCCTCTCACAGCATCCACTATGCCCTCTCACAGCATCCACTATGCCCTCTCACTCTTCTGTGCTGTAACAAGAGTCTCTCACTGCCTGCGAGAGGTGTGACGCCGCCGCCTCGCCCTCTGAGACCCTCGCACCCCTGCCTCGCCCTCACGCGGCATGAGTCTCTCGCTGCCTCCGAAATGTGTGCCACTGCGACACCATCCATCGCACCGTGGCCTCTGAGTCTCTGCACTCCCGCACCCTCTCATTCCTCACAGCCCGACTCTGACTGTCCGAAAGACTTTACAGACAGACGCTCTGGCGGTCTCACGGGTTGACTGCTGCTGTGCTGCGGCAATTGAATTTGAGTTCTCATGCAGCTAGCTATAAAACATCAGTGTGGTGTGGTGTGGTGTGGTGTGGTGTGGCCTAATATGGACTGGTCTGCTCTGGTCTGGTCTGGTGATGGTGCCTTGCATTGCCTACGGGTACTGCGCCGCAAGCCTTTTTCTCGTTTTCCAGGTGCTGCCTATGTTAATTTCATTTTGCTTGTATGTAAATCTAATTGCACATTTCTTATCAGCTTCGCTCAGCTTTGTTTTCACAGTAAATTGGTGGATGTATGCCCTGAATGGACGATCTTGCAACGGATGATAATATATCCTGACCTAATATTATATATTTTGACCTAAAGGTTATTAAAGACGAATGTCATGGAAAAAAGGTATCAGTATCTTGGAGTTTTTAATTTGCTTTCCTGATTCATAGAAAGCAATCAGAACGTGATTTGCGTCGTCGAATGCCCTTCTTATAACGAGTCTTCCTCACCTCCCTCACCCATCTCTACAATTTCCGTCTCACCGTTTCCCCAATTTTCTCCAACTGATAGCCATGGCTGCTGCAGCAGCATCCTCGCAACTTGCAGCCACCGCGACTCGGATCTCTGCTGCGACGGATGCCAATCGTAGCGTTACGGCGAGCGCCGCTGGGTCGAGTTTTTTTAGCGCGGTCACATCAAGTAACGCAATTTGTGCTACTAAGGCGATGAGTGCTTTTTCGAGCAGCAGCGGCAGCGCATGGCGTTGCAGCGCGGCGGTGCTGCGCGCGACAGGCGTTTGCACCGAGGAGCCCCTCCACTGCGCCTCCACCTCCTCTGTTGCGCATCCGGGTGGGGGCTGGGGGGCGCGCGGGAGCTATACGCGCGCGACACTCGGCCTGGACACGTGGCACTGCGCGAGGCCGACCCGGTGTTGTGCATCTGTCGCCTCCGGGCGAGCGATTACCAGGAGAGCAGGGGAAGGACCTGAAGCAGAGATAGGTGACGATAGTGCGGTATCCAGACGTGCGTATAAAGGGGGTGAGACAGAGGGCTTCGATGAAATCGACGGTGAGGATTGGGTGGACGGCGACGCGACGGACGGCGACGATGGATGGCTGGAAGCCGGCCGTGTGGCGGCGCCATCAGATATACTCGATAAGAGCAGCAGCAGTAACGCGAACGGCAGCAGCACCAGCAGCACCAGCACCAGCACGGTTACGTCTAACCGCCAGTCGTGGTTGGCGGAGGGCGAAGGCGGGTCGGCGCCAGGGGGAGAGGGAGCCCCCGAAGGGCCGCTTGGGGGGAAGCTGGGGAACGCGGAGCGAAAGGAGCTCCGCGCTTATGCGCACCGCATGGGTAGCCGGATAAGCACGCACCAGGTGAGACCTTTGGGCGAGACCTCCCTCGGGTGAAGCAGGGTTTCTGATCCTCTGCAACCCTAGGGCAAGGGTTTATGATTGACGGTTCAGGGTTACACGAAAGTGGACATGCTCAGTGTTAGAGTCAGAGTCAAGTTCAGGGCTCAGAGTAAGGGTAAGGGTCAGGGTAAGGGTAAGGGTGGGGGTTGGGGTCAGGGTTTGGGGTTCTCACAATAACTGTACAGGGAGAGTGCCACCAGGAATTACCCCCAGGGGTTCTCCAAAGGGTTTTTCACTAAACACCTTGCTTGCCTTTGCATTGCGTACATATTCCTAACCTGCATTCACCTTGCCTATGTGTGCATGACTGGCTGGGTGATTGCAGATTGGCAAGTGGGGAGTGACATCCACAGTCATCACGTCCTTGCATGATGGCCTGGAGAAGCACGAACTGCTCAAGGTGAGAATAGCTTAAAACACAGTAGCCAGGCTTGGTTGCGTGCAGACTGGCAAGTGGGGGGTGACGTCTACGCTCATCACGTCCTTGCATGATGGCCTGGAGAAGCATGAACAGCTCAAGGTGAGACTGTGACATTCACCGTATTAGTGCCCTTCTTTTGAGCCCCGTGAATCGCATTGGTTTTACTAACCCGTTGTGACTCTCTCCGTTTGTTTTTTCCATAGCGCTCGTTCCGCACCTGGCTGCCAGGTGTCAGAAATTCCCAGTTTTGTTCCCTTGCCCTTTTCCCATGTCCTGCTCAGATAAAAATGTCTGACAACTGCCCGGATGAGGCATGGGAGGTGGGGCAGGTCTTGGAAGAGAAACTAGCAGCGCAGGTGGTGGGTTTGATTGGTCGCACGGCGCTGCTGTATCGGCCAAGCCTCACTAAGCTGGCAAAAGAAGAGGAGATGGCAAAAAGGGAGAAAGAGCGTGAGAGAAGGAGGAGAAGAGGGATGGGTGGAGGATCGGAGCGGGGTGGAGGGAGGCGGGACTTTGGAAGGACGAGAAGGGAAAATGGGGAGGATGAACCGAGAAGTGCCGGTAGAGGGAGAAATGCTGGAGTGGGGCGCGGGGGAGGCAGGCAAGGTCGAGGAGGGATCCAGAAAAGGGGAAGGTAGAGAGGTTTATGGAGTTCTGCTTATGCAGCTGATGCTTGATAGAAGACCATCAAAATGAAAGAAGCGTTTTGATTTGACTGCAAGCCTGTGCGTATGTTACGAGTGCAATGGAGTGAGCGAGCGAGGATTGCACTGTCGAGACAAGAATACAATGAGCGAAGAATATATAGCGAAGCTACATTGGTAACGGTAGCGTTTGGTCAATGGGGTGTGCGACGGGCCTGGTGCCGAGGTTGGGAACTGTCGGAGCGGAGGTCCGGAGCGCGGGTTACCAACCGAACCGTGAGGTTGGGTCGCATCGTGAACAGTGGCGGGAATGGGGTCGAGGCGAATGTCGCGAGTGGTAATGGATTATTGTGGGGTGCTGTTGGTGGGAACAGTGGTGTACGCGTTGAGCAGGGACGCGAAGTAAAGGAAAAGGATTTTCCTTACACTACCCCCCCCCCCCCCCCCCCCCCCCCCCCTAAGGAGGCCTCTCTTACGAGAGCGCGTGTATATCCCGGAAATTCCAGCTGCGTAGGTACTCGGTGAGGACGGGGTGGTTTTCAATGTTGTCCAGGGGAACCCAATTGTCCTCGGTGGGCGTGCGGTCTCTCCAGCGGATCAGGAATTCGACCCTTCGAGTTCCTCGTGGGTCGCGAACTTGGTGGCTCAGGATCTTCTCGGGCGTGATGACTGGTTCCGTCTCTGGTCGTGTCATGCTGGCTGGGCGATTTCGGGCCAGTTGGCTGGTGGATGGAATGTAGGGGCGAAGCAGGCTGACGTGGAAAGACGGGCTGACGTACCAGACGGCAGGGAGGATGAGGTGGGCGGGGGGTGAGCGGTGTGATCATGTGGCTGATGCGAAATGGCCCGCAATATCGGGGGCGGAGTTTCGGAGTTATGGGCAGGCGGAGGTTTTGAGTGTCGAGTAAAACTAAGTCGTCGGCTTGGTAAGTGGCGGGTCTGCGGTGGCGATCGGCGTTGCGCTTAGCGATGACGTTGGCCTTTTTTATTGCCTCTGCTGCCCTGGTTCGTGCTGCCTGTAAAATTTCTGCGAATTGTTGTGCACGTGGTACCGGGTTGTCGGGATTTGGGGTCATAGGTACTGTAAGGTCTTGTCCGTAGTTCAGGTAAAATGGTGACTGTTGGGTCGTGGCGGATGGCGAGTTGTACGCGAATTCGATGAGTGGCAGTTGCTGATCCCAGGTGGTTGGGTCGTCGCACGTGGCTCGGATTAATTGTTCCATGGTCTGATTTGTCCGTTCTGTCTGTCCGTCAGTTTCGGGGTGGTACGAAGAACTGAACTGTAGCCTCGTGCCGAACTGCTGCCACAGGTTCCGCCATAAATTGCTGGTGAATTTCGTGTCGCGGTCGCCGATGATTGCTGCCGGTATCCCGTGTAATCAAACAATGGTTGCGACGAAAAGGCGGGTCGTTTCTTCGGCTGTGATTGATTTTTTGCATGCTACGAAATATGCCATTTTCGTCAATCGATCGACGACGACCAGGATCGCGTCGTTTCCACTTGCTCCGGCCGGTAACCCCGTGACGAAGTCCATCGTCACCTGCTGCCAAGCACGCTCTAGGGGTGGTATTGGCTGCAACTGTCCTGCTGGTCGCTTCCATTACGATTTCATGACTTGGCAGGTGGGGCACGATGACACGTGTCGTTGCACGTCGGTCAACATTTCGGGCCAGTAGTAGTACCGCTGCAGCTGCGGCCGTGTTTTCTCAAGGTACTCGAGCCAGCGGATCTGTCGTGGGTTGAGGTGGGGTTGTGCGCGGAGGTACTGTAGAGATTTTTTGTCTGTCCGTACTGTCACGTCGGCGCCGGTCAAGTAACATCGCCACACTTTGAATGCATGCACGATCGCAAGTATTTCGCGATCGTGTATCGGGTAATTCTTCTCGGGCGGATGCAATTTTCGTGATGCGTATGCGATGGGCTGTAAACCGTTTCCAAAATCCTGTAGCAGTACGGCTCCAATGGCGATGTTGCTTGCGTCGGTAAGCACTTCGAATGGGCGGTGTGGGTCGGCGATGCGCAGTACGGGCGGTGAACAGAGAACAGTTTTCAGGGTAGAGAAGGCAGCATGCTCTTTCTCCCCCCACGTAAAATTGACCCCCTTCCGCAGTAAGTCCGTCAGCGGGGCAGTTAAGCGTGCCATGTCGGGGACGAACCGACTCACGTAATTAACAAACCCTAAGAAACTCTGCAGCTCCGTGATGTTCGTAGGGGGATTCCACGCTTTTACAGTGTCCAGTTTCTTTGGGTCGTTTTCGACTCCAGCCTCGGAAATAATGTGCCCCAAAAGCTCTAGCCTATCATGGAAAAACTCGCACTTGGAACCCTTGGTCAGTAGTCTGTTTTTGTCTAGGACTGTAAATACTGCTTCTAAATTGTCAGAATCTAAAGGAAGGAATGAATGAACTAGAAAGCAGGTGGGTACAAGTAAGAAACCTAAAAGTGTTGTACCCTATATGAACTACCCCACTACAGCCTAAACAGACTATAGCATATAAGTTTGACACACCCCCATAGGCAAAGTGGGGGAGAAGCAAGAGGTCACAAGACCGGTCAAGAAAGGCAAAACAAGCTCAGGGTGGATCATAAAGTCACCACACAGTCCGAGCACAAGCAAAGGGCCACAAGGCCAGTTCACATGCAGAGTTAAATAAAGGAGAACAAACAATACAGTGAACACAACCTAGCAAGTGTAAGCATGCAGGTATAGGTATAGAGAGTACAGTACAAGCAAAGTCAAGAAGTAAGCAAGTGAGGCACAGTAGGTACAAGACCTAGCACAGTACAGAAACGCTGATGATCACAAGGCTGAAGTGCCTTGGTGAAAACATCAGCAGTGTTGGCCCGAGAGGCCACGTAAGCAAGACGAAGCTGACCACGCTGCTGCAACTCTCGAGCAAGGAAGTAGCGCAGAGCAATGTGCTTCGTTCTGTGCTCCTGACACAAGGCAAGCATGGCCTTGTTTTCGACGTACAGAACCGGAGGAGAATGAGGCTCCTCTCCCAAGTCGGTCAGCAGGTAGGTGAGCCAGCGTAACTCCTGTGCAGCCATGGCCCAAGCGTAGATCTCAGCCTCACAACTGGAGCTGAGAACAGAAGAAGAGCGGGTAGACCGCAAAGAGACAGAACCAGAGCCAAGACTAAAGGTGTAACCCTGTGACGACCGCTGCGTAGCCAAGTCGTCAACCCAGGAAGCGTCTGCGTGACTAGTGAGGACAACTCGAGCCCGTCCTCCAAGCACGAGCCCCATGCCCAACGTACTGCACAAGTATCGCAACACCCTCTTCGCAGCATCCCAGTGCACCTTTCGGTGCCTACCGGGAGCCATGTAGCGTGCCAGAAGGCTGAGAGGGTCTGCAAGGTCAGGTCGTTTGCAAGTCATCAGGTACATGAGGCAGCCCACAAGCTCTGGATACGGGCCACTCGGCTCTACGGACTCGTCCGAAGGTGGAGCTGAGAGCGAGTGACTGGTAGGCAGAGGAGTGGACTGTGGCGAGGAGTACGTGAAGCCGAAGCGCTGAAGGACCTGCTGCACCATGTGTGACTGAGTCAAGGTAATGGTGCGCTGTGCTCTGTCTCGGGTGATCTGCAAGCCAAGATAGCTTGTCAGCTCACCCAGGTCAGTGCAGGTGTGTCTCATCTGCAGCTCGGACTTCATGTGGGCGAGTGCCTCAGTGTCAGCAGTAGCAAAGACCAAGTCGTCTACGTACACGAGAACGTAGAACGGCGGCAGAGTGGTGTCAGTGCGTAAAAACAGCGACGGGTCAGCAGTGGAAGGAGCAAAACCAAGAGTAGCAAGAGTCGTCCTCGGTGTGTCGTGCCACTCACGGGGTGCCTGGCGGAGACCGTAGACTGGCCCCCGGAGGCTCCACTGGGTACCAGCAGGAAACGACCCAGTGAAGCCAGGTGGGCGGCGCAGCCAGCTCTCCTCGTGCAGGCTGCCCTGTAGGAAAGCTGTGCTGAAGTCAAGCGAGTGTAGCTTGTAGTCACTCTGAGCGGCGACGTGCAGCAGCACCCGAAGAGTGGTCATCTTCGGGGTAGGGGAGAAGGTCTGGAAGAAGTCAACTCTCTGTCGCTGACTGAATCCTCGTGCAACGTAACGCGCCTTGAAGACAGGCGGAGAACCCGGCGGCCGCTTCACCCTGAAAATCCACATGCCACTGACGATGTTCGCCCCAGGCGGGGGAACCTCGTCGACGTAGGTGCCTGTGGACTTCCAGGATGCGATCTCGGCATCCATGGCTGCCTGCCACTGAGAGGGGTAGGGACCCTCTATCGCCTCTGCGTAAGAGCGCGAGGTCGGGATGTCTGGTGCATCCGAGTCTCCCTAAGGGGCAAGCAGCATGGACACGAGATGAGGTACAGCAGCGGCAATGCACTCAAACTCCTCTTGTCTGTCCTCAAGGACGTCCGTGCCAAGAGCACACTCACCCCCGACGGACGGAGGACAGACAGACGCAGACTCAGACTCGGCAACAAGACTAACGGCGTAGTCTAGACGACAATGAGCAGCAAAGTCGACAGGCTCAGCAACAAAGGCAGACGCAGCAGTTGACTCAAAGGAAGGGTCAGTGACAACAGTGGCCAGGAAACGCGTGACAGTATGACTAGCAGTACGAAGCGATTCAGACTCAGGGTCAGCAAGGGCAGGAAGAGAGGACGCATGAGGAGACGGCAGAGGGACACGCTGTGCAGCAGTGGAAGGACGCAGAGTCATAGAGTGAGTGCCAGGGACAGGAGGAGGACGCTGACGTGGAACACGACGACCAGTGCGAACAAGCAACGCAGGACGAGACTCAGGTGACGCAGGACGAGACTCAGGCGACGCAGGACGAGACTCAGGCTCAAGACGCTCCGTAAGACCTCTAGTCGGTCCAGAGTAAGGAGAAGGACCAGGCAGTGGAGAGGCGGGTTGTAACTGCGACTGTGACTGGACAGGCGGTGGACTCAGTAAGGGAGGAGGACCAGTAGAAGGCGGGAGACCAAGAACCTGC